CCCTGTCTCATCCCATGGCTTCCTGCTCTGCCAAGTCCTCCAAGCCGCCAGCTCTCCCTCTCTGCTTTTCATCTGGTGGCTTTTCATCTGGTCCCAAGTTCCCCAAGCCATTCCACTCTCCGCTGGCTCTCCCACTCTGCTCTCAGCCTGTGTATGCAAATAAACTAGCTATCTTTGTTGGATTAATTTGCATACTCATAATTCACAAAGAGCACATAACATTTGTTGATATCTATGCATCAATTAGGAAAGCAGCAACCTAAAGACAAATTTAAAGAGAAGATTGATACACATCTCAAGCATTCAAAAACAATAGACACAATAATAAGAACTTAGCAAATTAAAAGACCATAATCGGTAATATAAAGTTTATACATATAGTTTTTAAGTTGTTGTGGTTTTTTTTTTTTTTTTTTTTTTTTGGGGGGGGGGAGGCATGTTAATAACAAAGTTATTAAGTTTTATTTGTTTATTTTTATTTTTTATTGATTTTAAGAGAAAGGAGATGGATAGAGATAAAAAACATGGATGAGAGAGAAACATCATCGTTAGTCTGCCTCCTGCATGCTTCCTACAGGATCAAGCCTACAACCCCAGCATGCGCCCTGACCAGGAATTAAACTGGTGACCTCTTGGTTTCTGGGTTGTTGCTCAACCACTAAGCCACACCACCTGGGCTATGTATATATTTTCAACTCTGTACATCTATAATAGAGAAAATATATTCTTCACAAATTATCATGAGATACTTATGCAAACTCACGATATATTATATCACAAAGAAAGCCATGATGAATTTCAGAAAGTAGAAATAGCACACTATATTCTGTGTATACACAGTAGAAAATAGAAATTAATAACAAACAAACAAAAAAGCCTAAGTATTCTTTTAATTAGAAATATAAGAGCTTCTGAAAAATAACTCTTGGTTCAAAGGCAGATACAGATTTAAAAATTTCATTTCTGCAGAAAATTATAATAAAAACATATCATACATGGTGGTATTTAAAGCAGTGCTTAGTCTAAAATTAATGATATTCTTACAGACATAAAGCAATAATCAAATTTTCAACTCAAAGGCTACAAAATGAATAACACCATGAGCTGAAAGACAGAGAGTAAGAAATTAATACCCTAACCCCCTCGTTCCCCCCTCAAACCCCCCCCCTCACACACACACACACACACACACACACACACACACACACGTTTCCTCAGTCTGGCCTCCATGTCTGCCAAGAAGCTCTCCCTCAGCAGATCCCGGGCTAATGAAGGGTAACATAGCCATCCTTTGCCAGGGGCTCTGGTATTATTTTGAGCTCTTTTAGACCTTCTCTTGGATCTGGAATGGGAGAGAACTGCTTCTCTTACAACCAGCCCCTTAGCCTGGGAGAGTTTTACAAAAACAGAATTCCAGAGCAGCTCCCCACTTACTAGGAAACTGTCTCCTCTCTCGAGAGTGTGTCAGCTCCATCTGCTCTGCATTAAAGAGGGTCCTTAGGTTTCTTCAAAGGTGTTTTCCCAAAGATGGAGAGGACAGGTGAGAAAGAACTAGGTCTGGACAGCTCCAATGAAATGACCTATGCTCCCAAGTCTCAAAAGTTAGAACTATAGCCTGGCTGTCAGGGCTGGGCAGGGAAGAGGCCACCTGGGCGTGGGCGCACTCCCTGCCTCCACTCTGGTCAGCGCACACTCTCTGCCTCTCCAGCTCTGCCATCTCTCAGGTGAGACATGGTCTCTGCCCACAGAGGGCTATAGGTATTTTAGTGGCTAGTTTTAGATATATTCTCCACAAGAATAACTTATAGTCAGCTTCCATTTTAAACAAATTTTATAAGATCATTCTTTTGTTTGAAGTATTTTTCAAAATTTCCAAACTTTACATATATGTGGATTATTTGTCTTTAGTATATTAGTAGGGAATAATTGAAACATTGGAACTCAAAGTGTTATCATTTTTATTTTAAAATTTCTGGTTAAATAATTAAATTTTTTGGTAAAATGCTCTAAGTGTATATGTTCTCATTTGTTTAAAATGTGTAATTTATTTTAAATTGCTTTAATAAAATTTCTATTATTTTTTAATTTGCTTTATTGACTAATGCTAAGTAGATATTTCTGTGTAATGACTGCTCACATTAAGCACATCAGGATTGGAGAGTTTCCTGGAAGAGACCCAATCACCACTGGACACAAGGAACGTCATCTGTCTCCAGGCAGGCAGTTCTGTAGCTGGTTCAGATGAAGCAAGAGCTTCAGTTCTGCTCACAAGCATCTGTTGGTTCTAAGCCATAATCTCAGCACACAGCTATCATCAAATAACCTGTTCAATTTAGTTGAAGATTTCCTTGGGCTAAGGTGAAAGCAGTCCTGTATATAAAGCTAATTTTGAATATTTTTTCATTGAAAAATCATTAGGGAGTACTTTATTTCAGTCATTTAAAGTCACTAGTTCATACACATAGGAGCTGCTGGTGACAAAGAACTGGTGGAAATGATATTCTTTTTAAATATACTTATTGATTTCAGAGAAGAAGGCAGAGGGAGAGAGAGATAGAAACATCAATGATGAGAGTGAATCACTAATTGCTGCCTCCTGCATGTCCCCACTGTGAATCAAGCCTGAAACCTGGACACATGCCCTGACTGGGAATCAAAGCATTACTTCCTGATTCACATGCCCTGACTGGGAATCAAAGCATTACTTCCTGATTCACAGCACTGAGTCATGTTGGCCAGGTTGGTGGGAATGATCCCATATAATAAAAGCCTAATATGCTAAGTGTTTGGTTGTCCATTCAACCAATTAAAGCACAATAAGCTAATGATATGCTAAAGCCACTCAATCATTCGCTATGACATGCACTGACCACCAGGGAGCAGATGCTCCAACTGATAGGTTAGCTTGCTGCTGGGGTCTGGCCAATCAGGACTGAATGAGATGGACCAGACATGCCCTGAAGCCCTCCCACAGCCCCTCCATGACTGGCCAAACTCCTGTGACCCTCCCCGGCCCAGATCATGCACCGGTGGGGTCACTCAGCCTGACTATGCCCTCTCGTAATCTGGGACCCCTCAGGGGATGTCTGAGAGCAGGTTTCTCCCCATCCTGCAGGACAGGTCAAGGCACCCCACTGGTGCACGAATTCATGAAAAGCAAAATCACTGTCTTTGCAAGGTCCATCTGCTTCCTTAACTTGATCCTTGTGAGAGGCCATGTGACTGGACATCAGTGCACATGCCTTTGCATCACAACAAGGTAGCCAATGACCTACAGTTCTCCCACTTCTGTATTTGCAGCTGGAAGACCATGAGAGACCTTTGTGTGAGAGCACGTGGTGCACACTGGAGCTCAGCAGGCCTGAGTTCAGCTTCTTTGAGAAAGCTGCTTTCCATGGGGATAAAGGGAAATGGAGACAGAAAGGCAAGTAAGATCCCAGCCAAATACAGAGGCATTCGACTCTCACACACCAAACCCATTTACAACCATTCAAAAAGCAGAGAACCCTGTGCAAACTGCAAAAACAACCACAAATACTTTGCACCCCCTGATCTGAGCTGGTGCTGTACTTCCTTTGAAAACAGGAGGGAGTGGAAGCGATGCTGTGGGTTCTAGGTTAGGCTTAAGAGGCCCTGCACCAGGGAGCCTTCCAGCACCTTCTGAATGAGCCTCAGTCAGCCTGCAGGAGGGCAAACCCACATGAGGGAGGCCCAGCAGCCCCAGCTCAACCACTTGAGGCTGCAGACCTGTGGGGGAGCCCACCTGAGGCACTTGAGCCCAGCCCTGAGCATGAAGACGGCCCAAGTGGGCCCAGAACACTTTACTCTTACAGAACCAGGAGAAAACCATTAAATTTTGGACATGATTATTACATGGAAACATCTTCCTGATGCCACCCTCTTCAAAGAAATCTTATTTCCGGGTGATTTCCAGGGCTCCTGTGGCCCATAGGCATGACAGCCACAGGGAGGAGGCCCAATGCATGAGGGAGAACTTAGGGGCTGTCGCTGGGGTAGGCATGATGTTCTCACACCATTATCGTTATTGATATTATTACATATTAGTTCTCATCTGGGAATACATGCAATGTGCCAGGCATTTTACTGTATTAAAACCTTATAATTTGTAAATATTATAATTTCATGTCATCATAGAAACTATCCGAGTTTTCACCCTGTTTCTAGGAAAGAACCCTACGGCTTCTTATTTTGAGGATTTGCCCAGGCTGACGCATCGGATGAAATGACAAGTTCATTTGATGACAAAGCCCGGCTTCCTTGTACTTTGCCACTCTGGGCTCTGCCTTGTTGTGAAGCATCTGTAGTGGCTGTGATGGTGGGGGTCTTGGCCTTTAGAGTAGACACTCCAATGCTTCATAAGCAGGGCTGTATCGGGAAAAAGTAGCTGGAAGTCAGAACTTGAAGAATTTGAAAATATACATGTTTTAGAGACTATTATAAATGTTAATTACAATAAACCTTAGTGTCTAAATAATTTTTAATATGTTTTTATTGATTTCAGAGAGGAAAAGAGAGGGAGAGAGATAGAAACATCAATGATGAGAGAGAATCATTGATCTGCTGCCTTCTGCATGTCCCACACTGGGGATCAAGCTCTCAATCTGGGTGTGTGCCATGATGGGGAATTGAACCATGACTCCTGGTTCATAGGTCAATGCTCAACCACTGAGCCACGCCTGTTGGGCATATAATTGGGCATCTTAATAAATGTTACCTTCAAGGAAGAAAGGCATTACTGAAGCTAAAGCTCCAATTGGTAGAAACACAGCAGTCAGATCTGGCCAGATAGCCATGTCTGGATATGCCAAGGTTGGGGTTTCAGTCTCTCATCACATACAAGAAGCGACCAATGAATGCATAAATACATGGAACAACAAATCGATGTTTCTCTCTTGCCCATCAATTAAAAAAAGAACATAAAGGAGTAGCAGTCATTCATGTTACCTGGGAGAGAAGTGTGCTTGGCCATTTTTGTGACTTGTTCATGTTTTGGTTATTTAGGTTTGTGAGAACCAGCAGGCACACACAGAGAGGAGATTCTGATTTCATACCTTCCCTCCTGTGGGAACCATGCCAGGTCCCCAGATAGTCAAGGCTGGTGCAGCACAGAGACCTTGTTATCAATTCACCAAAATGACCAGAAGCTGCTCTGGGCATGTGCCTAAATGAAGTATTCAAGGACTCTGAGCCTGGGAATCCTAATCAGGCCAAGATACCATGAGCAGGTGTAAGGATACATGGCACACTGTGCCCTTCTGTAGCCAGTATGAATGATGTCACAGTTGGCACGGAGCCTTCTTTGTCTAAATCAGCAGTTCTCAACCTGTGGGTAGGGACCACTTTGGGGGTCTTCACAGGAGCAGCCAAAGACATCTTGTATATCAGATATTTACATTATGATTCCTAACAGTAGCAAAATTATAGTTATGAAGTAGCAACAAAAATAATTTTATGATTGGGAGTCAGCACAACATGAGAAACTGTATTAAAGATTCAAAGCATTAGGAAGGTTGAGAACCACTGGCCTAAATGGTATAAAAGTAGATTACTGACTAGCTAGTTGGCTGAGTAAGCTGTAGTCAGCTGGAGTAGGCTGGAGTCAGTTGAGTAGGGAGTGAGAAGTTTACTAGAGAATGGAGAGAGAGAAGCTCAGATGAAGTGTGTGAACAATTCTAAAGAGAGCAGCAGGGCAGGAGAGGAGAAAGGAGAAGCTGCTGAGTCGGAGCTCAGATACCACTACCATGTGAGGCGGTGAGTCTAGGAGGCAGCATGTGGCTGGTCAGATAATAGCTGTGTGTACAGATGCTGTTTTATGGGAAAGATAGATGCATTCACCAGCTGGTGTCCGGCTGCCTGCCTGTTTGGTCTTTCCTGTGAGGACTGTTCTTGTCTGATGGATATATGGCCACTGGCTTCAGCAATAAAGACTCATTCTTATATACCCAGACCTCCCATGGCTTCTCTAAGTCCCAGCGCAGCATCCTAGGAGGTCCAGCCCCAGGCAGAGGGGCTCAGACCCAACACCTGTTACTAGTGAGCAGAGGATAAAGGAGGAAATTGGACTGAGTTCCCAACAGTTAATACAGCAGGCAGCGTTTGAGAAGACCCAGTCCTGGTGTGGTTGGATAGGAGACTAGAATACATGGACTCACGGCCACTCAGAACAACGCAGAGCACCAGAGCTCCTGCAGGGCACTGGCTTGGCTCTGACACCTCCTTTGTTGGAGAATTCCCTCAGGTCCACTCTGAGCAGAGGCTGGATCAGAGCCTCAGAACCTGGGGATTTCCCAGTCCCTGCCAGGCCTCCTAGTACACACTCTTTAACCAGCAACTGAGGTGTCATCACAGGCGGGTTTTCTGATTGGCTAGAGCCTGACTTGCAGGGTTTGGTTTGGGTGTTTTTAGATTTCTTCCTCAGCTTGGTCTTCACCATTGCTCTACAGCTCAGAGCAGCAGCTGCTGACACCACCCTGAGAAGAAGATGACCCTAAACAGAGCTCTGCTTTGGGGGGCCCTCGCCCTGACCACTGTGCTGAGTCGGTGTGGAGGTGACGACATTGTGGGTGAGTGCACTGCTGAGCCAGGTGGGGACTGGACTGGGAAACAGAATTGGAGGGTAAAAAAGAGAGATTTGCATAGAAAGAGTGGAGATTCTTCAAAGGCACCCTCAATATTAACCAGATCAAAAATGGTGGTCCTTCCTCCTGTGGGGAACCAGGGTCCCCATCCAGTCTGTGCTGCCTGAGCTATTGCCACTGCACCAAGGCCATCATCCTGGTTCTAATGTTGGATCCATGAATATAGCTCAGAGGCTCTACAGCATTCATACATGATTGCCTCAAAGATTAGGAGTGATTTCACAAGTGGATGTTCTGTTACCAAAATTCATGAATTATTCTCAAATTTTTCTGAACAATTTTTGGAGTTTTTGATATATTACTATTGTAGTTTACCTTGAGGTAAAGAGTTTCATGAATTATGTGTACTATGTAGATATGCAGAAGGGTTCTTTGCTTTGTCTCAGATTTACATACATTTCCAAGCTGAGAACTGGCACTGGTGGGGAGTGGGTAAGTACCCCAGTGAAGGCCTTTGGATAAGCCATTTTATCACATGGTTTTTCACTTAATCTCAGTTACCTCTTATGCCTCACCTTACAGAAAATCAAGTAAAATAGTTAGTAGGTGTGCTTCCCAAGTAAGGAATACCAATAAATGTCAATGACATTTAAAATTACTACGACTATAGATAGAGCTGTACACTTTTTCTATAACAAAGTAGGGAATATCTTTACATGTATTTTTAAATTGAGAACTTTATGATGAAAACTTGGTGAATTAAATTATATTAGCCTCATATGCCTGATCTTAATGGCATCTAAGAAGGCCCTGTGAGAGGAGGATTGGGCATCCAATCATGGTTTGGTCCCCTGGGTCCCTCTACCTACCCCTGTTGCTCACCTTTCACCCTCTCTTCTCCATTTCCTTCCCCTCCTTTTTCCCCAGGGTCCATCCCTGGCTCTTTTTATTGCTGTTTTATTGGCATGAAGAGTGGGTTCGTAAAAGCAAAGTAGGAAAACCAAGCACTGTAGATGCAGGGGTCTTCAAACTATGGCCCGCGGGCCACATGCAGCCCGCAGAGGAGTCTGATCCGGCCCGCCAGGTTTTTTGGGCAGTGAGCGCAGCCGAGGTGTTACAGTAGGAATTAGTAGTTCATATAGTCCGGCCCTCCAGCTCTCTGAGGGACCGTGATCTGGCCCCCACTTTAAAAGTTTGAGGACCCTTGCAAGGGGAAGTGAACTGGAGGTTACCCTGATCTTCAGCGATGTTATTAACCATGGCTGCCCAGGCTTTCTTGGTTTGGTGGGAAAGTTTTGTCTGCTTCTCCAGAGCACGTCCAAGTTCCCTTTCTCAATGTCACTGCAGAGCGCCCTGGTCCAGCTCGATGTACTCCCCATAGTGGTCATAAATCCATGGGCCTGCAATGCCTGTAGGGTCCCATGAAAATGCTTTCCTTTCTTTTAAAATTAGAAGAAAAAATGAACTTTTAGGGTAGAAGAAACTCGTTTAATTTAGCCTGGATCAGTGGTCGGCAAACTCATTAGTGAACAGAGCCAAGTATCAACAATGCAATGATTGGAATTTCTTTTGAGAGCCAAATTTTTTAAACTTAAACTATATAGTAGGTACATTGTTATTAGCTTAATTAGGGTATTCCTAAACTGATCTTTGCTAAAAATTCAAGGGGCCAAAGATCCACATGTGGCTCGAGAGCTACAGTTTGCCGACCACTGGCCTGGATTATATTTGCCTTTGTAGAAATATGGTCATAAAATATAAGTTTTTAATTATTTTATGGAACAAATAAAGGACCATTAGAAACAGTGCTTAGGGCTCAGGAGCCATAATGCGGCCGGTCACCGCTGAGTCTGACTTTCAGAGGATGCTGCTGCCTTCCTGTCTGTCAATCTCCCCAAATCTCTGTTGTCCTGAAGAACAGCGCGGACATTTGGCACCAGGAGCTCAGTGCTGGGACGCAGATGAAGAGACATGCTGTCTGCCCCTGGAGACAGCTCAGATTAGCGATAGGACAACAGAGGCCGGAGCAGGGCAGCTGCTGCACAAGACAGTGGCCCAGCGAGCTGAAACGGAGAGTGAGCAGTTTCAGCTGGTGCAGTGATGTCCCCCAGCAGCAGCGTGCAGCCAGGGCATGTGCAGATGGAAAGGATAATCACCTATGTTCATGTTTGTAATTCATTAATATAATTTATGTCAAGAGCATTCATTACAAGGACAAGGAGGCTTTGATGGGATGAGGAACAGATAAACTTGCAAAGAGGATATTTGCATGGAGGGGCTAGAGGTCATAATGGGGTCAAAACTATGCTTCATGAGGGGACTTAGCTAAGAAGTTGGTAGCTAAGAACAAACTGGCGGTGCCCAGGAAATCCTGGAAGATAATTTGGGGGAGGAAAACAGACCCTTATAAAGACCAAGAAGCATGAAAAGGTGACGTCTGATTTGATTGGCAGGTGAAGCATTTGTGGAGGACCCAGCACAGTGCATCTGTGGGCTCCCTACTCACCTGTGACTTTTCTATTCAGTAAGCTCCTCGCTGGCAGCATTGTACTCCTCATTTCTCACTCCTCGCGATGTCTGAAACCTTGTTGATGGTCAGGAAGTAGGAAGGGAGGGAAGAGGAAAAGGTAAAAGCCTCAGACACATTGTCCAGTCAGGCTCCCCTGGTCAGTCAGCTGTGCTGGCTGCCATCTGCTTTGGTGTCACAGACAAGTCCACTGTCCATTCCAGGGAAGGGCCAGAGTTTTCCTTGAGTCCCCAACAAGGTAAGTGTTGAGTCAGAAAAAGGAGAGGTTTAATAACGTGATTCAAGAAAAAGAAGTGGGTTGGGAAATGACAGAAATCCAAAATCTAATGAAATTTCGTTTCATTTCAGAGAAAACCAGGTGCTCTCCTCTAATGACCACTCTGTTACAGACGCAGAGACCTCAGCCCTGGCTGGTGGCTCTGTGGTTGGAGCATCGACCTGCACACGGAATGGTCATAGGTTTGAATCCTGGTCCAGGGCAGGTAACTGGGTTGCAGATTCAATCCCCAGAGCCACTTGTGAGAGGCAACAAATTGATCTGAGTGGTTTCTCTCTCTCTCTCTCTCTCTCTCTCTCTCTCTCTCTCTCTCTCTCTCTCTCTCTCTCTCTCTCTCTCTCTCTCTCTCTCTCTTCTCCCCCGCTCCCTCTCACTCTGTCTTAAAAAAAAAATGGACAAAATATCCTCAGGTGAGGATAAACAAAACAAAACAAAACAGAGACCTTAGAAGCATTGCTTACCTTACCTTTTATGTGTTTTGTGATATTCTCACTGCTCTTATCCTACTCTTTCTTATTCCCTAAAATAGAGGCAATTCTTTAAAAATGATATTGGGTGTGCTTTTCCTTGGTTAAAAAAATAAAATAAAAGGAGGAAGGAATCTTTGTATAGCACATGTTCTGTTCTGAGCCAGTCCTGAGGGGAGAGAATGTGTTATTAACCAGTGAAGAAATTGGGAGAGAAAACTTATGAACAGGGGAGGCAAACTGAATCTCTGGGAAAGAAAGCTAAGGCCATGGTTATTCATTATTTCTTGTTCCACCCATTTCAGTATTTATCCCTGCCGGGCACTGAGCTAGGCTGGCAGGGAATAGCAGTGAACAGGCCTGTGGAATGCTGATCCTGTGACAGGAGCGAATGTGGGAGTGGAGAGGCAGCTGGATTCTAACAGGACAGCCAGGGGAGGGGAGGGAGCAGGCGCTGGGACTGTCTGCCGACTATGAGGTGCAGCACTCAATGTTTGCACATCAGTCTCTTGTCACTATTTAACGAGATCCTTTCTCTCCTGTGTTTTGCACCTCCCTGCTCCCGCCTCACTCATCAGCTGACCATGTTGGGTCCTATGGCATAAATGTCTACCACTCGTACGGTTCCTCGGGCCAGTACACCCATGAATTTGATGGAGACGAGGAGTTCTACGTGGACCTGGACAAGAGGGAAACTGTCTGGCAGCTGCCTGGGTTAAGTGAATTTGGAGGTTTTGACCCACAGGGTGGACTGCAAAACATAGCTATTGTAAAACACAACCTGGGCATCCTGATTAAACTCTCCAACTACACCGCTGCTATCAATGGTATGTGTCCACCATCCTGTCTCTTACCCGAATCTACCCTTCACACCAGGCCTCATTCCTTTCTCCCCTCAGATAGATTCCCTTCACTCTATAAAATGCTCTCCTTTCACGGAGTCCCAGATCTTCTCATGGTATTTATTGAACCCTCATCCTCTCCTTTCTTACAAATCACGTATTTCCATGAAATACACATTCTTGCTCCCTATGCAATCCTCGACTCCTTCCAGGATGGGTCCCATAAACGTCCACCCTACCAAGGGGCCCACAGAGAGAAGGGCGTGGGATGACCTGCGGGCAGTGTACAGCAGCTCACAAGCAGAGGGAACAAGAGCTCTCCGCTCTCCGATGGGGAAACAGTGGTGGGAGGGCCCTCCAGGAGGCAGGACCCTCAGGGCAGAGCTGCCTGTGATTCTAAGCCCAGTGCTGCTTCCTCACATAGAGGTTCCTGAGGTGTCGGTGTTTCCCAAGTCTCCCGTGGAGCTGGGCCAGCCCAACACCCTCATCTGTGCCGTGGACAACATCTTCCCGCCCGTGATCAACATCTCCTGGCTGAGCAACGGGCATCCCGTCACACAGGGTGTTTCCGAAACCAGCTTCCTGACCAAGAAGGATTTTTCCTTCCTCAAGATCAGTTACCTCACCTTCCTGCCTTCGGCTGACGACATCTATGACTGCCAGGTGGAGCACTGGGGGCTGGACCAGCCTCTCCTGACGCACTGGGGTGTGTATGAGCCCCACGCCTTCGGTGCCTTCTTTCTCTGTCAAGTCAGACACTCTGCCTTTTAGCCCCTAAATCTCATGGCCCAAAGCCCCTTTCCTGCACCTCAGGATTTCTAAAGGCAGACTGTATTATTCTCCTGCAACCTGGAGCCAGGTCTTTGTAGAATCAACACCACCCCTCACTCCCCTCTTGTACACATGCTGTGAGCCATCCTTCCGCACTCTGACCCCCTCACCTCATCCCACAGAGCCCGAGATTCCAGCCCCCATGTCAGAGCTGACAGAGACAGTGGTCTGCGCCCTGGGGCTGGCCGTGGGCCTCGTGGGCATTGTCACAGGCACCATCTTCATCATCCAGGGCCTGCGCCCAGCTGGTGCCTCCAGACAGCAAGGGCCCTTGTGAGTCACACGCCAGAAGGAAGGTAAGGATGCCCATGTGTTGGAGCTGGGAGTGGGAGACACAGGACCGGGGGAAGGGGAGTGGGAAGAGATTGTGGACACAACTGTGGTTGAAAGTCTTAGTAGAATTAGGAAACGACATGAGGATAGCACAGGAGCCCTGAGACCTATAAATCTCGTGTCTGTCCTGTTATTGCAGGTGCATTGCCAATCTTAAGAGCAGAAGAGTGGACATGCTGGGTGACCTGGCACTATTCGCTGGCCAAGTACATCTTAGTCCTCTTTGCATCCACTGCCCCTCCTGTCATTTCTTTTCTGGGACTTAAGGTGCTGTGTCCTCTCAGAGTTCATAAACCCTTGGAATTCTCCCCCTTACTCCTGACATTTTGTCTTTTCTCCTCTGTTACCTACTATGGAGATCCCTGGGATACGCCTCATTCCTTGTGGGCCTGATCTGATATCTCCGTGGACAAGCAATAAATCCCCTTTCGGAGGCCTTTTATTGAATTTTTTCCTCTCTCATCTCACAGCTGACTAAGACATGGCTGAGAATAGCAAACTCTCATGCTTCAGCCCCCTTTCATCTTATTTTAGATATTTCATGCCTCAGTAACAAAAGCAAAGACAAATATACCCTGATAATGTTTTGCTATCTTAGATGAGGTTAAGATTTCTCTCTTCATTTGGTTCCCTCCCTTGGCCAGTGCCTTTCCGCCCTCCCCAATTCAGGCATCAGTGGAGGTCATATATACCCGCTGCCCTAGGTTTTGTTCAGCAGGAATGCAAAACCAAGAAGGAAGTCCATACTTGCTATAATATAGCTCTCAAACATTATGAGAGGAAAGTTGGGGGAAAGGAAATTTGAATTTCAAAAGTACAACAGTCAATTCAAAACTTTAAATTTGTGAAGTTAATGATGATATTAGAAACTTTCTCTCTTCTCTTTACCTTTGAGGAGATAAGAATGCTCTAGGAAGGAGAAGAAATGGAAGTCAGTCAGGAGGGCATTGGAATGGGGCAATAATGCTTTGTCCTTACTTAGGGCTAGTAACCAGTGGGAAAGGGGTGGGAGTAGATCCACAGGCACACAGGGCCCCTAGGTACAGGTGTAGCCTGCCTCACCTCCCGGATGAGCCCTGCTGGCTTACCTGTGGATGCTCCTGTGCCACCCTGGCATGTGAGGGACACGGGGTGAATAGGCTGCAGGGAGTGACCAGGCAGGTAAGCCCAATCAGCATCACCAGATCCCTGGGTCCCTGTGCACCTGGAGCAGCAGAACAGCCTGCTACCCCCGCCCCACCCTCCGCTCTTGCCTAAGGAAGGGGAGCCTGTGAGGGAGAAAGTTCCCAGATCACAGGAATGAGGTCATACAGCAGCAGAGGTGGGTGCTGGCTGCTCTGGATTTCCTGTCTCCCAGTGGAAACCCTGGCAGGGAGATAGAGCCACAGAGGGACACTCTGGCCCTCTTCACACCTTAGTGTGTGCGTGACCCGACGTGGAGCCATCACCCTTTGCAACTGTTTCCCGGCGTGGCCTTCGTCTTTCCGCCCCACATGACTGCGTCCACACATTGCACTTAGGATGGATAACGGAACAGCCATGGTGGATGAGGCTGTCCCTGTCCATGCCATCTTCTTCCAGGAGCTTAACATGTAACCGAATAACTAACAGAATAACTGATGCAGCACAGTTTGGTACACAGATAGCTAAATCCAGGGCTTGGAACCTTATAGCTTGTATTTTAAACCGTGAAACACTAGAGTTAAGTATCTAACATTCTGAGCCATATTGTTCTCAACCATAATGTGGGAATAATACTTACTTTGTAGAAGTATTGACAGAATTTGAATATTCTTGATATACAGGCAGTGCCTTAAGCTAGTGTACAAATACCTTGCTAGTACTCCCTTCGGCAGCACATATACCAAAATCAGAACAACACCGATGTTAGCATGGCCCCTGCACAAGCATGACATACAAATTAGTGAAGCATTCCATGATCTTTTACATAGATGCCTAACCATTGTGCTGCACACAGGAACTAATATAAAACAATATTGACTATCAGCTGTAATTAAAAACAAAAATTTTGCTAATTATAAGCATCATTCATTTATTAAAAACAATGGATCACATTATATGAAAGGCACATTTTTTTTTTGAGCCCTTTAGGACATTCAAAGATGAAGCCCTGGATGAATTTCTTTTCACACGTTAATTGGAGGGTTTCTTTTCCCCTCTAGAATGAGAGAAGTTGAGACTGAGTTAGGCTGAGAGAACAGATAGGGTATAGTAGCCTGTGATATATTATTAGGGAAGGGGTTGCTAAGAAAACTAGAGAAAAAAGTTGTAATATATGGCTTTAGTTTTTACTCTCTAATAAAAGATATCTCCCTTATGTATGGCCCATAAACTTTTAGTCAAGAAATGTTATATGCAATATATCTTTACTAGAGGCCCAGTGCACGAAATTTGTGCACTGGTGGTGGGAAGAGCAGAACTTGTCCTTCAGCCCAGCATGCATCCTCTTCAATTTAGGACCCTTTGGGGGATATCCAACTGTCTCACAATCTGGGACTGCTGGCTCCCAAACACTCACCTGCCTGCCTGCCTGCCTATCTGCCTGCCTGATTGCTCCTAACCACTTCTGCCTGCCAGCCTATTCACCACCTAACCATTCCCCTGCCAGCCTGATGATGCTTAATTGATGCTCCTCTACTGTTCCAATTGCCCCCAACTGCCCTCCCCTGATGGCCCAATTGTCCACAACTGCCCTCTCCTATTGGCCATCTTGTGGTAGCCATCTTGTGACCACATGGGGCAGCCATCTTGTGTGAGGGTATGACAGTCAATTTCCATATAACCTCTTTATTATATAGGATGTATGCCTACTTTGGAGAGGAGGTGGGAAATATTCAAGAGAAAAAAAAGTTACCTGGGTAGAAGTAAGAGAATAATTAAAAATGTACACTAAAATTAGCAAATGCAGGGAACAGAACCAGAACATCGTGACAGTGTAAGTATCAGAGCACAGAACGTTTTTAGGGCTATAAAGCAATTCTGTATGATACCATAATGATACCTTTTGCCCAAACCCATCTAAACTACAAAACCAATAATGAGGCCTAAGATAAGCCATACACTCTGGGTGATAATGACGTGTCAATGTAGGCTCATCAGTTGTAACAGATGTACCCTCTGGTGGGAAATGTTAACAATGCAGGAGGCTGCCGAAACTGGTTTGGCTCAGTGATAGAGCGTCTGTCTGCGAACTGAAAGGTCCCAGGTTCGATTCTGGTTAGGGGCATGTACGTTGGTTGCGGGCACATCCCAGGTGGGGGGTGTGCAGGAGGCAGCTGGTCGATGTTTCTCTCTCATCGATGTTTCTGGCTCTCTATCTCTCCCCTTTCCTCTCTGTAAAAAATCAATAAAATATATTTAAAAAAAAAAACAATATAGGAGGCTGTGTCTGTGGGGGCAGGGTATACACAGGAAACCTTTGTATTTTCTGCTCAATTTTGCTAAAATTACTATAAAGTGCACTGAAAAAAGAAAACAAAGGATCAGCAATTATGATCCCAAGTGTATAAAATAAAAATATTAGTACAGAAAAATATATAGGCTACCTGAAAATGCACAAAAGTGCTGAGAAGAGTTTTAAATTTCAATTATTCATGAGGTAAGAACTTGGCATTTTGGAGGGGTGGGTGTTTGTGTGTGTGTGTGTTTGTGTGTGTGTGTGTGTGTTGCTGCAATATAAGGGTTGTATTGAATGTCATTATGACCAGTAACCAGGAAATACACAAATTCTATCCTACTGAGACTCCTTACCCATGAAGTACTTGGAAAAACAAACTTATTGTTAGTTGGATTTTATTAAAGAGATTTGTTTTTTTTAATTTTATATAATTTTAAAATAGCAAAGTTAACTCCAAAAATAAGAGCAATCATTTATTTTTATCAAGTTTATCAAAATTAAAGGAGGATCATCATATAACATTACAATAAACAAAGTTGGAAATCAGTCCTTATTATTTTGAATTATGTGATCTTTGAAAATTTTTGCAGGTAATGTGAGAGAGTATTTGCACAAGAACCAAACATAATGTAGTAGAGTTTAGAGAATACTTGAATAGATGTCTGTTGAGATTAAATAAGATGGTATTGAGGAGGAAAGAGGAAATATTTGAGAAAATCTTACAATATGAAAGAGAAGACTAGAAAAAAATAAAATAAAAATGGTTGATGTTGTAGAGAAAGTTCATGTAACAGCAAATAAGTTATTCAGAATCCTTAGTGAAAAAACATTCCATCTAATAAGTAATAATAGAGAGCTACGAAACTGGGAATTTCAATTAAAAGTTTGGAAACTTAAATCAAGGAAATCTCCTTGAAATGAAATAAATACAAAGAAATATAATATGAGGTAGAAAAGGTAAGACAGAGACAATAGCCCAGGAAGACCAATATTAAATAACAATGCTAGAGAGAGAAACAGAGAAACAAAAGGGGAAAGGAAGGAATTTATCAAACAGATGATATGGGGAAATTTTTCAGATATAAAGGATCTCATTCTTTACATAAAATGGGACTTTCAGATATTAAGCAAAATTAATGAAAAGGACTTATTCCTAAATACATCATTTTAAAAATTTTAGAACTTCAAGAGTTAAAGGAAGATCATAAAATATCTAGGGGAAGAAAACAAAACAGAACAAACTGACAAAAGACAAAAGATTAGACTGCCAGATACTTCTATCATTAAGATAGTAAGAAAGGCCTGGAGTTCTACAGGAAAATTATTTTCTATTAATGAATGAATACCTTTTTGAAATCACAATCAAGCATGAAGTAAAGATAAAATTATGTTAGACATGAAAAGATATAAAAATCTACCTATTCATCAAATTATTGGAATTTGATTAAGAATATGACTTCTAAAGTGAGGTGGTTAATCAGGAAATAGGAATGCACTTGAGGAGTGACATCAGAAACAGCTGAAAAAGAGGTCTCTTGTACATATCTCCTCTTGAGAACAAATTGCACCCATCCACAGATAAAAGTGCTTTTTTGGGAGCTATGGGATCCAGCACCACATGTCAAGGGACCTAGGAGTAGTCTTACCACTCATGCATCATGTAATAGGCATACAGACCTCAGTTCCCCCAGAAGCTACAGTGGCTTGTGAACTCCAGCCTCTCAGCTGTGGCCTTGGGTCTCTGGAGAACAGTCTTAACAATCACCCATGAGAGAGCTTTTGTGGAAATCCTGGTTTCCAGCTAAGAATTCAGCACAATATTGGAAGGGGGAAAATAAGATTTTTGGGTGCATTGGAGAGGTAAGAGGATCAATTTTACTTTACCTGCATCACCCCTCCACCAAGGCAGCTGCCAAAGTGATCCATTTCTCTCTCACCCCATTCAGAATGCTGAGTGATGAGCTATGACTAGGGTTGGGAAGAAGCTAAGAGAGGGGCCTAGGGGACTGTTGGAGGACATTGAAGGAACTTGGATTCTACCAACTATGTCATGAACTTCATCAAGAAGCCCATCCACAAGCCACTAGGGTGATCCTCCCAATTGGCCTACACACACTCTCAACATTCATAGGACTCACTTAAATGTTCCCACCCTGTGGGAGATCCTTATAACAGGGAGAGAAAATTTTGTCAGACAACTAATTAATAGCACAGAAATCCAACCTGAATCCATGGGTCAGAGGGAGAGACAAACTTTAGCTTCACACCTGCCCTAAGGAAATAAAAGGAAGGCTATCAGCACCCAGCCTGAAGTGTTCCAGGAGTAGGAAAATAGATAGAAGCTTTAAAATTCTGCCATAAGAAGGAGCAAGAAGTTTGTAGTGTCAGCTATTTCTCTCCTGAAGTCACTGAGTAACAGCAGAAGGAGGTGACTGCTACTTCAAATGCAAAGAGAGCAATTCAAAAATTCAAGAAACATGAAGAATCAAAGTAGCATGACACCACCAAAGCATCGAAATAATCTTCCAGTAACCAATGCCAAGTCACAGAGATCTGCAATTTACTCAATAAAGAATCCAAAATAGCTATTTTAAAGAAGCTCAACAAGCTATGATGGCTGCACAGTCCCATGCCATGCCTTCCACAGAGGCGGCCACAGGGGAATGGGCCTAAGCCACAGTTGGACATCCCCTGAGGGCTCCTGGCTGCCAGCTGGAGAGAGACTATGGGAGGGCTCCAGGGCATGTCTGGTCCATCTTGCTTAGTCCCAATTGGCTGGTCCCCAGCAGCATGCTAACGTATTGGTCAGAGTGTCTGCCCCCTGGTGGTCATGCATGTTTGCCCCCTGGTGGCCAGTGCAGTTGATTGGTCTTATCATATCATTAGCATATTATGCTTTGATTGGTTGAACGGGGATGGTAATGATCATAATGATACTATTTCATGATGTAAGGATTTAAAAAGACAATGAAAGTAAAGTGCATAGAATAGTGTCTGGTTCTATTCACCCCCTATGGCCTCTCCCCCTGGTCCAGCCCCAATCAGCCCTGGGGATTGGTCGGCCAACTTCCCATGGCTCCTCTATCCACAGCCCATTCCAAAGTGGTCCCCAGGGGATGGATGGGGAAACATCCCTCAGCCCCTCCCTCCTGGTCCACCCAGATCATCCCTGGAGGCTGGCTGGCCAATTTCCCACCAGCCACCAGCAGCCAACCTCCCACAGCCCCTCCCCACCTGCCCAACCCTGGTTGGTGGCCAGGCCAAAGAAAACCACCTGTGTACAAATTTGTGCACTGGGCCTCTAGTCTTACCTAATAATAAACAAACATGTAAATTGACCATACCTCCACTACTCCCACAGCCAATCAGTGTGAGTATGCAAATTAACCCAACAAAGATGGAAGTTAATTTGCATATATTCCTGGGTCCCAGAAACATCCTTGGCACCCAGGTCATTCCAAGCCAGCAATCAGAGGGGCAGAGGGCCCCCTTCCCATGCCTAAAGCTTGGGAGGCCTGAGCCAGAAATCAGAAAGGGGGGGGGGGGGGGGAAACAGCCTCTCCAAGCCTAAAGCCTGTGCCCAAGGCTCTAGGCTTGGGCAGGGGCCAAGCCAGGGATCAGAGGAGCAGGGGCCCAGGTGGTGATCAAAGGGGTGAGGGTAGTTGTAGGCTTGGGCAGGGGGCAAGGCTTTAGGCTTAGTCAGGGGTCAAGCCAACAACTGGAGGCAAGAGGGGAAAAAATCAATGGGAACATATTCTCAGGTGAAGAGAAAGAGAAAGAAAGAAGGAAGAAAGTCATAGCCTATGAAAGACACATCTTGAAAATGCCTAAAGAAAGTTGTCATTTTTTCATGGTGAAGGGACTGGAGTCCATGTTGATGAAAATACTTTGGCAGCTGCGGTGACTGGCAGTGGCTGCAGCAGGTGGGTGATGGAGCTGGTGCCTTCCCCTGATCAGCCCATGCACCAGGCCTCTATCCTATATAATAAAAGAGTAATATGCAAATTGACCATCACTCCAACACACAATAGCTGCCCCCATGTGGTCAAAGATGGCTGCCCCCATGTGTATATATATGTTAGAACCATACACTTGAAACGTTAGTTTCAAGATGGCCACCACAAGATGGCCAGCAGGGAAGGCTGTTGTGAAGGACCAGGCCTGCAACAGAGGGCAGTTAGGGGTGACTAGGCTAGCAGAGGAGGGAAGTTGGGGGCAAACAGTCTGGCAGGGGAGAAATTAGGCATCAATCAAGCTGGCAGGCAGGCAGAAGCTGTTGGGGGCAAACAGGAAGGCAGGCAGGCAAGCAGTTGGGAGCCATCAGTCCTTGATTGTGAGAGAGATGTTCGACTGCCCGGCTACTGGGATCGGACATCCCTCAGGGGGTCCCAGATTGGAGAGGGTGTAGGCTGGACTAAGGGACACATATCTCTGTGCACAAATTTCATGCACCGGGCCTCTAGTGTGTGTGTGTGTGTGTGTGTGTGTGTGTGTGTGTGTGTGTGTGTGTGTATATATATTTATATATATATATATATATATATATATATATATATATGCCTAAAAGGCTAAGTATCTGACTGTCCAACTATTTAACCAGTTGCTATGATGCACACTGACCACCAGAGAGCAGATGCTCTGACCAGTAGCTGGTGTCCAGCCAATCAGGACTGAGAAAGATGGGTTGAACAAACCCTGGAGACCTCTTGCAGTTCCTGCCCAATCCTAGTCATGCACCAGTGAAGTCCCTCTGCCTGTTGTGTGCCCTTTTGCTATCTGAGACCCTTTGGGGGGTGTCAGATAGCTGGTTTCAGCCCATAGAACAGGACAAGGGACCCCACCAGTGCACAAATTTGTACACCAGGACTCTAGTAGGAAAATAATTTACTTGAACTAACGTTTCAAGTGTATGGTTCTAACATAGATATACAAAAATTCCACCAAAAAGAAATTCGATCCAGCAGAATATTTATTCTTTTCAAGTGCAAACAGAGCATTCTCCAGGATAGAGCATATGTTATAATGGTCACAAAGCAAGTCTTGAAAATGTAAGAACATTGAAATCACATCAATTATCTTTTCTAATTACATGGTATAAAATTAGAAATAAAAAAAAACATAAAAGTAATGTGGGAAAATACACAAATATGTGTAAATCAAACAGCACACTCCTGAACAACCAGTTGTTCAATGAAGAAATCAAAAAGGAAGTCATAAAATCTCTTGAGACAAATGAAAATGAAAACACAGCACATTAACTTATGGGATGCAGCAAAGCAGTTCTAAGAGGAATTTCATTGTGATAAACGCCTACATTAAGAAAAATAGGAAGGGGAAAGTGGATCTTATTGGAAGCTTGAAAAGTTACAACTGCGGCAACCACTGAATGGCTGCGAACCCCAAAACACCGGTCTCCAATTGGCATAAGCACACGGTTTCAGAGGTCTACACTCCACCATGAAAAGGTCAGATTTTTGTCTGGGATAAGGAGAGAGAGAAAACTACATAACCAGACATCCAGAGAAGAGAGACAATGAGGAGACAAAGAAACAGCCCACATATGAAAGAAAAGCAGGCATCACCAGAAAAGGAGGTAAAAGAAATAGAGGCTAGCAACATGTCAGAAAAAGAATTCAGAGAAATGGTCATAAGGTGGCTGAAAAGAATGAAGACAAATTTGACAATATGAGTAAGAATCAAGAGGAAGTGAAGAAGAACCAAAAAGAAATGAAAAAATGGCATTGCTGCTGTAAAGAACTCAATATAAAGCATCAAGAGTAGACTAGAAGAAGCAGAGGTCTACATCAGTGAACTAGAAGACAAGGTGGAAAACAATACCCAATTTGAGCAGCTTCTAGAAACTAAAATTAAAAAGCAGGAGGAGATCCCAGGGGAACTTTGGGACAACACAAAACAAATAAACATCTGCATAATAGGTGTTCCAGAAGGAGAGAAAACTTAGCAAGGAATAGAAAAATAGAAAGCTCTCAAAAACACATAAAAACTAAGTATACTCTTGCAGGAACTACAAAAAGAAGAACAAACTAAGTATAAAGTTAGTGGAAAAGATGGAATAATAAAAATCAGAATGGAAACAAATAAAATAGAGGTTTAAAAGACAATAGAAAAGATAAACAAAACAGGATTTAGAGAAGGTAAAATTGACAAAATTTAACAACATTAAGAAAAAAAGAGAGATGACTCAAGTTAGTAATATTGTAAACAAGAGGAAATATTACAGCTAACACCACAGAAATACAAAGTATCCTAAAAGACTACTATGAATAAGTATACACCAACAAATTTATTAACTTAGAAGAATTGTAAAAATTGCTGGAAGCATGCAACTACCAAGACTGAATCCTGAAGAAATAGAAAATCTTAATAGACCAATAAGTAAAGAAATTGAATAAGTAATCAAAAACCTCCTAGCAGCTCTAGCTGGTTTGGCTCAGTGAATAGAGCATCAGCCTGTGGACTGAAGGGTTCAATTCTGGACAAGGTCATATGCCTGGGTTGTGAGTTTGATCCCCAGTAGGGGGTTTGCAGGAGGCATCCAATCAATGAATCTCATCATCTATGTTTCTATCTCTCTCTCCCTCTCCCTTCTTCTTTGAAATAAAAAAATAACCCCCCCCCCAAAAAAAAAGCCTCTTAGTAAGGAAAAGCCCAGATGTTTTAACTAGTCAAGTATACTAAACCTTTAAAGAAGAATTCATGCCAATCCTTCTCAAATAAAGGATACAAGCTTCCACTTGTACGATGAATATGTTCTTGGGAATCTAAGCATAGTATAGTTAACAATATTGTATTATCTCTATATGTAAAAGCCTAAGCAACCAAGCAACCCAAAGACTGTTCAACTGAATGCTATGGTGAACACTGACCACAAGGGGGCAGGTGCTCAATGCAGGAGCTTTCCCCTGGTGGTTAGTACAATCTCACAGCAGGAGCACCACTCAGCTGACTGACCTGGCCCAGTGGCCCACCAGCCCCATGGCAACCATTCACTTCCTCAGTAGTCCTGTAAGTCCAATCTTCAGAGAATGGGCTAGGTAGGGCCACCAGCATGATTCCCACAGGGCCACTGGCCTCCTGGAAGTTGGCCTCAGACACCACAGCCGCTTCCCCTCCCTAGATGCTCCACAAGGAAGAAATGATATATAAGCGAACACCAGGTGGCTTCCAACAACCAGGGTGAACATCAACAGGCAAATCCAGATCCTGGGCCACCCAGAGGGCAGATTGCATCCCAGGCACCCCCCCCCCCCGCCCCCCTCAGGATGGGTGCCAGATGCAGGGCTCATGGCTAGTGCCACTGTGGAAGTGTGAGCCTCTCCTGATTGGGAATGATTGAGCTTGGGGCCTCGGCAGGTGCAGCGGGGCTGCGATGAATGGGAGTGGCAGGCAGGAATGTCAGGCATTGTTGGACTGTGGGTTTTAGCCTGATCCCCTCAGGCCACTCTAAGGAACCCCACTTGTGCATGAATTCGCGCATTGGGCCTCTGGTATGCAGGGGCCTGATGCAGTGGGGGCCAGATATGGCTGCAATCTCCCTTTTCCACATCCAGCATGGAAAGAGAGATGAACGAATTGGTTCTAAGTGGATTTGGCTAGGGATTGAGAAAGAAAAAAAGAAGAGAGAGAGAGAGAGAGAGAGAGAGAGAGAGAGAGAGAGAGAGGGAAAGAGAGAGAGAGAGAAAGGAAGGAAGGAAGGAAGGAAGGAAGGGAGGGAGGAAGGAAGGAAGGAAGGAAGGAAGGAAGGAAGGAAGGAAGGAAGGAAGGAAGGAAGGAAGAAAGAAAGAAAGAAAGAAAGAAAGAAAGAGAACCAAAAATATATTTAAAAGCTGGGAGCTAATGAGAATGGCATTCTCTCTGATGGAGAGGAAGCAAAGAAGATCCCATGCAGTGCGTTTATTTTTATATCCCAAAATACCAGGTAGTAATACCAAAACTTAGGATCAAAGGAGCTTATTTGCATTCTTAAGTAGGCCAGAACAGTCCTGAAAGTTGACTAGATTTACATATCTAGACTCACCCCTGCCGACACCTGGGCTGATATGAAGGCCAAGCTGATTACATGTCTCCTCGTTCTTGGGGAAATATGTATCCCAGATGCAGCTCTGCCAGTCGCCTCAGACTCAGCTGACAACAATTTAAAGAAATGTCCATGTGCCTTCCCAGGCACTGTCTACACTAGTATACTATAAGTTGTAAAAAGAGTAGATCTTAAATGTTCTCATTACAAAAAAATAGTTATCATATAAGATGATAGAGGTGTTAACCAATGCTCTGTGATAATCACTTCACATTATATAGTGTATCAAATTATCATTGTGAGAGGGTAGGGCGGGGCTAACTCCTGACTCCATTTTGTACTGTGGGGCAGGGCGCAACTATCCTCCATTTTGTGTAACTGGACCCTAGCCCTCACCCAACTAATCAGGGTAAGCCAAAGCAGTGACATCACCACCCTTGTAAAACACCTTGACCTGTGGAAGCTTGTTCTTTCTTCCACAATGAGGTTGGCGTGAGTGGGACAGAGCCCATGCTGGCATGGAATTCAGGCTTTCTGCAATTTGCATCAGACTTGGCTCCCTGGTGGTCCTTGGGGATCACAAATCTGGGTGTAACATTTGAGGGCTCATCCAGAATTCCCAAGACCCTGAGGGACCCCAATCCGGAGAGCCTGACTGACAGCGGTAAGTGTATGTGTGTGTCTGTGTGCTTGTGTGAGCACTCTGGAGGGATGAGGAAACCCCTCGTGTCGGTAGTGCCCGAAGAGATTTAGATGGACGCATTGCTGGAAGACCACGACCAGAGGGTTCAGAAGACATTCCGACCTCCCAGGATGAGGCGAGCAGTGTGAGGCCGGTATCTCACAAGCGGGAGAGAAGTGGACCTCTCCCAGGACGAGGCAAGCGGCATGAGGCCAGAGTCTCACAGGCAGGAGAGAAGTGGACCTCTCCTAGGTCTGGTTTTAAGTTGAAACCTTGATGTTGGGTGCCCTCTTATTGGTGGTTGTGATTTTCTGTGTTGTGGAGGTTCGGAAGGGTCAATGGAAGACTTGTTGTTCGAGTGAGTGGCCAGCTTTCAATGTCGGAGGGACACCAGTCAGCATGAGGCCATCGTTCAGTTTGTCTTCCACAAAGTTGGAAGACTGTTCTCAGGGCCCTCTGTCTGTTTCTGTGTTCCCCGTTTGTATGTTTGTGTAAGTAAGGGTTTCAGTTTGCTCTTGTTTGTAAATCTTCTGACTCTTTCCCCCAGAGCAGGCAGGAGGTGGGGGAGGGGAGAAGAGGCCTCATATTTGCCATCATTTAGGCACGGGCATTTCTGTACTCATGTAATGCAGAAAGGCCAGTTCAAAACAAGTGTGCATAGTTTTGAGCTGGGCTTAACTTTTCTGTGTACAGAATGAGCTTTAAGGATGGTGGAGAGGAACTGGGAGATAAATTAAAGCTAGTTTCCCAAGGCATTTAAAGCAGCTTTTGAAATTCCCACCCTGAGGCAAGTAACCAGCAGGAAGTAGATAACAGGTTTATTAAAGTGTTGACCTAAGTATGCTTTGCATGAAGTCTAGATAATTGCTTTAAAAATGTAAAAGTATTATTGATTTGGGAAATGCTATTTGATTTGCTACCTGAAAAATGTAAAGTTCTGAAAGTTTAAGGTTTCTTGCCATGAAGAGGTTCTAAAGCTACACCTTATTTTTAATGGAGGAAGGGAAGGACATGCCATTCCCCCCAGCCCCCCGCCCCCCACCACCCCAGAACAGGTAATCCAATTCCAGCCAACTGCTATCTTTAAAGAATGTGTTCATTTGCATTTGAATGGCTAACCAAGGGAAAGTTTACATGTGAATAGCTCTCAGTTTCCCTAGGCAGAGAATATTAATGGGGAGTTGCTGGATGTTTGACTTGCGGGCTCTGAAGGTTTTGGGATTCCTATATGCTTAAAGAATGTGGTTTCTTGTTCAAATTAAGATCTTAGTTTGTATTTGGAATTTAAAAAAATGTGTGGCCAAATCTGTTGCTGAAACTTCTCCCAAAGTAAGCAGGATGGGGGGAAGGGAGTGACACGTGGCAATCCAAGTTTAAATTTGCCTCATAAAAAATCTAGAGGACAGAATTGAAGCTCTTAATTGGTTAGAAATATAAAGTGTTATTAATCTAGGACGTGCAAAATACATTTTACTTGCCAGCTTTAAAAGTTCAAAGTATAAATTAAATTGGGAGAAGTTATATAAATGTGGTAACTGTTATGCCCAGACTTCATGATCCCCAAGGACCACCAGGGAGCCAAGTCCGATGCAATAAGCAAGAGAGCCTTCACCATGCTAGCATGTGCTCCCCCACTCATGCCGGCAGCATGGCGGAAGAGAGCGAATTTCTTCCGGTCCAGGGGTTTTGAGGGCTAGGGATAACTCCGCCCTACGGGGCGGAGTTGGGAGCTCATCCTCGCCCCGCCCTGCCCTTTCATTCCCCCCTTGTCTAATGTGCCTAGTCAAATCATTGACTCAGCAGCCTACTTCCTTTCAGCATAAACAACAAATACAGTTATCAAGACCCTTAGTACCACAGTTCCCATCAGTATTGTCCTCACTGAAGTCCAGTTCCCCTCCTGCAGGCATCAGTTCTCCTCCTGGCCTGTAGTTGCCAGGATCCAGGCCATGCAGGAGCTGGGAGTCATGTAGTTAGGTCTGGGTGCCATCTACTTCAACAGCAGTGGGCGTGCTCAGGATAACAGTGCAGCATCCCTTTGAGTCCTTGGGCAGCAAATTTCTTTACCCACATTGAGTTCCAGGGCTACAGGGTCTGCGGTGGGCACTGGCAGTGCATCTGGAACAAGCAAACTGCAGAGCCTGTAAGGACTTGAGCAAGGAAATGGTTACCATACATGATCCCCTCCCAAAAAGGGGAAACTTGTCCCAATAAGGGGTACACCTGGCCCTCAAGAGGGCAAAGGACAGGGGGTTGGTCCAATTTTCACCGAATCTAAGACACATTTAGTTAAACCTCCTTTTCAAGAGTCTCGCCTGTCCTAAGGCTAGAGCTATGATACCTTAGCTACCAAGGGGAGGGCTGTTATCTGATAGTGGGGTATACCTCAACCTAATCTGAAGTGTCTATAAAAATTAGACCTTAATGCTGGTGGTTTAATCTCTGAAATCCACCTACCAATGCTCTCCTGGGGAGGTTCCCTGGGACCTGAATTCCCAGGGGGGATCCCCTTACTTTGCTTAGCATTTACCTGTGCACAGACAGTACTTCTAGCAACTCTGCCTCACAGAAGTTCAGAAGTCTTGGTGACACTTAACCTGGTGTCACCGGGCAACTCTGACCTAGAGCCTCTGGGACCAACAGTCTTGTCATCTGGAGGGTCCATCAACCATCTGGTTCTTCAGTGGCTTGCTTCTGGTCAGCCAATTCCTTTTGGCTGCAGTTGGTACCCCTCTTTTCTTTGTGGATGGCACAGTGTCTCTATCAAAGGGCCTGGATTAAGGCCAAAAGTTCTGGAACTGTGCCCAAATGGTGTGGTCCAAGGTGACTACCACTGCCCCTGCATATCAGGTCCCATCCTGAACATAATTGCTCCCATCCGTGAACAGTACCTTGTCGTCTGTTACCTCTGTGCAGTCATGAATGGGTTCCATCATCATCATCTGGAAGCAGGCTGGCAGGGTTGATGGCCAGAGTTTTCTGAATCTGGACACAGGGCTGGTCCAGGAGAAAAGCCTGGCCCATCCAGGTTAGCTCCTGGTCCAGAGTCCACTTATCTGCCTCCTTCACCAACAATGCTGTGGCTGCCACAGGGTCCAGTCTCTTAGACAGATAGGCAACAGGTCTCTTCCAGGGACCTAGAGTCTGAGTGAGAACCCCTTTGGCAATGTCTCTTACCTCACTCACGTAGGGGTGGAAGGGCTCCGCGTCGTCCGGCAAGGCTAGGGCAGCTGCTGAGATGAGAGCCTTCTTTAGCTCCTCAAAGATCCGTTGTTCCACTTTGGACCAGTTCAACAGCTGCATTTCCCCAGTACGTGTTCCTTCCGAGGACCACAGTCCTTCTTGATGTCCAAGGAAAACAGGCAGTTTGTCCGGTGGCTTCCTGGGCTGATGTACGGGTCCTATTGGCTCTCTCAAGACTAAATAGGGTGCCCCCATGCCCATCAGGAAACTAAAAGGCTTGCCTCTCCTAGCTAACCTGTCAGGACATACTCTTTATAATTTCTATAAAAATCTTATCTTCCAAAAATACATAACCATGCCTCAAATTTTAAAAGGCAAGGGAGGAGGGAGCAGGTCCAGTACCTGTTCCCAGGCCTCTAACAGCCACCTGAAATGTAAAATGCCACATTTTCCCTACAGATATAGATTTATCTACATTTCTAAGCCCCTCTACTCCCCACTGCAGAACATCGGTGAAAATTGTCCAAGCAGTCTCGGGGGGTTAATCATACAAATAATTGTTTTCACATTGTTTTAACACAATTCTAAAGTAGATACACATGACTGAAACCAAAAATTATTCCCAAAGTTTAAACAAAATACAAGATGCAGGTACAAGCCCAAATTCAACAACAATGGCATATGAGAAAAGCAAAACAAAACAAATCAAATATAAAAGTTTCATATGTTACATTAAACATTACTTTAGAAAAACTGACTTTAAAAAAAATACTGCATCACTGACTTAAAATAATTTTTTTAAGTGTAAGCATTACATACTTTTTCATCTGACAAATGAGAATAAATCAATCCTTGAGATCTTTGATCATTACTGCTTATTCTTAACATATATAATACAGTTTAGCCTGCCATATTCTAGGCATCTAGTTACTGCAATTAACTTTTCCTAATTCAACTTATACTTTGAACTTTTAAAGCTGGCAAGTCAAATAAATTTGGCATTTCTTAGATTAATAACATTACATTTTTAATATATCCTACTTAGGGTAAAGTTTCAGCAACAGATCTAATCATACAGTTTTTTCAGATCTCAAAAATTTTTTTTTTCTGAAGTTCAAACAAAGCACTGAATAATCTCTTTGTAGGAGAGCTAATAGTCTTGCGCTCTCCGGCCTCCCCTAGACCTCTCCACACCAGAGGCAGTTTACTAGGATTTAAGACAATGTCAGAAAATCATAGGTCAATCACAATTCATACTTAAGTAGCTATATGACTCTGCTTAGCTGATACCAATGACAAGGAAGACTAACCATTGTGGGCTGCTTCACCACCAATTACCTGCCACTCCTGAATCTGGAGCAGCATACAAATGCAAATGAACACATTCTTTACCTGAAGACTCTCAGCCATTAACGGCCATTCACCACCATTCACGTAAACTTGTTACCATTACCATCTAGTTTCCGCCTCATGGCGGGGAATTTCAAGAGCTGCTTACAATGACTTGGGAAACCAGTTTTAATTTATCTCCACCACTTTTAAAACTTATTCTGTACCCAGAAAAGTGTTTTTAAGCACAGCCCAAAACTATGCGCACTCGTTTTGAACTGGCCTTTTCTCTTTACTGAGCACAGAGATTTGCCCTTGAGCTCTTCTCCGGTACCTGATGTCTCCAGGGACCAATGTCTCTACGCTGGCCCAGGCCCCTATGGCCCAGGCCCCTGGGGCGAGGCTGCTTTGGCCACCCCAGCCACACTACTCAGGCAGCCCCCGAGGAGAAAGCGCGGGTCGCCCCAGCGGCTTCCCGGCTCCACTTCCCAGGCAGCCAGCAAATTAGCCCAGGTGCCTGCTCCCCGAGCGAGGCCACCACTGCCCAGCCGCGCTCCAACGCGCAGACTGAGCCCCGCGGGAGCCCCCCCTCCGACCCAACGCCGCCAGGGGCCCCGCACCGCCACGCCGGCCACACTTCGCCGGCTTCATCCTGGGGCGCCATGTCGCCCACAGATACCAAACTCAGACCTGGGAAAGGTTCACTTTCCGCAGGTGAGGCAACGGCTCACGCCATTCCTCTCCCCATATGAGGGTCCCTCTCGGGACCCTCTGATCCTCCTGCCCGTGGCCTTCATGGTGCGTCCACCAGGCGTTTTCGGGCACCAATTCCACAAGGGGTTTTACTTCCCTCCAGAGCGCGCACACAAAAACACAGACACACACACCTACCGCGGCCAGTCAGACTCTCCGGACCGGGTTTTCCCTAATGGTCCGGGGGATCCCGGACGAATCCCCCATCTGTTATGCCCAGACTTCATGATCCCCAAGGACCACCAGGGAGCCAAGTCCGATGCAATAAGCAAGAGAGCCTTCACCATGCTAGCATGTGCTCCCCCACTCATGCCGGCAGCATGGCGGAAGAGAGCGAATTTCTTCCGGTCCAGGGGTTTTGAGGGCTAGGGATAACTCCGCCCTACGGGGCGGAGTTGGGAGCTCATCCTCGCCCCGCCCTGCCCTTTCAGTAACTAAATGCCTAGAATAAATAATTAAGAATTCAAGATGTATTACTTGTTTGGTATGTCTATGTTTATTAATTTGAAATTATGAAGTTGTAACAATTGTGGTCCAAAAGGCTAAAAGCAGGAACAGAATTCTAAAGTTAACTACTGTTTGTCTCTGAAATATGGTAGCACTCATACTTGGGTAAAAACTGCTGTTTGAATTTTAACCTTGCTATCTGACTTCCACCTTCCATTACTTGCTTAAACTATAGGGTAGTTACAGGAGATTGACTCCCACTGACTCAGTGGCTTCAGGGGTAGAAACTGTAGATAACCTTTAGTTCTGCTTTTGTATTATGGTCAAGATATGGCCACATTCCAAAGTCAAGCAGGGTGTGACTGGGAACCAACCCTGCGGGCTGTCCCCAATCTTTAGAATTTAGTCTTTAGGATTTAGGAACAGATAACTGATTGGCCAGTTCTTTGTCCTGAGGGGCCAATCAGGGTTAGCCGAGGCAGTGACATCACCACCGACCTGAGTAAAACCCCTGGACTGGGCGATATTCGCTCTCTTCCGCCATGCTGCCGGCGTGAGTGGGATAGCCCATGCTAGCATGGAGAAGGCTCTTTTGTTTATTGCATCGGACTCGGCTCCCTGGTGGTCCTTGGGGATCATGACTGGAATCCCCAGCCAGGACCATGAGGGACCCCGGTCCGGAGAGCCTGACTGGCCGCGGTAGGTGTGTGTTTGTCTGTGCTTTTGTGTGAGCGCTCTGGAGGGACTGCCCCTCCATCGGGGCTCTTACCTGGGTGTTTGCTGGCTGCTGCGTCAGCCAAGGTTTGAGCCCGTATTCGAATCTGTAATAAATTCTAGCATGCTTAATCAAATTGGCTCTGGTGGTCCATCTCTTGGGGACTCGCTTAGTAACAGTCTCAATCGGCCATTTAAGATTGATGTGATTAATGATTACAGTACGTTGTAAAATCTTTAGAAGAAATACCCTCAAGCAGAGGGGCTTTTCAGAAAATTCAGGAAGTCTGATTGCAATGTAGGGGTCACTGCTCCCCCTGCTAGCAGGAGGCAAGCGCCTTTCCCAGTGGAAACAGAGTGGACTGCTGGATGAAAACACCTCGGTGGGAGCACCTCCTTTGCCATCTGGGACCTGCACCACGCTCTCTACCTCTGCCCGCCCAGCGTCCATCCCCCTCCAGGGGTTGTTCTGAGTAGCAATGGCAGGGACAAGGAGAGAAATTCCCTTGTGACCCCTGCCCTCCAATGAGACTGTTATAGTTACATTAGTGTGATGTTTGATTTATATTTTAAGGATTTAAAACAGTGTGAGAATAATTATTTGTGTGATTTAACTCCCGGTAATTGCTTGGACACTTCTCACCGAGTTCTGTTAGGGGGCTTAGAGGCGCAGTTAGAAATTCCCCCATTTCCCTTTTTCAGGCTTATCAAAATCTGAGATCTCTATCTGGAGGAAAAATGTGGCATTTTAAATTTCAAGCGGCTGTAGGCCTGGGAACAGGGAGCTGGGCCTGTTCCCTCCTCCCCTAGCCTTTTCTATAAGATTTGAGGCATCATTATGTATTTTTGAAGGATATAGAAAGAAGGTTTGAGAGTAATTTGATAAAGATTTTTATGAAAAAGGACTGACAGGACTGGGGCTCCTTTCTATAAGCCCCCAAGGGTAACCTTACAGGTGGAGGGCAAGCCTGTTAATTTCCAGTGGACCCTGGGGCAGCCTATTCAGTCTTGAGAGAGCCGATGGGACCCATACATCAGTCCGGGGAGCCTCCTTGGACATCAAAAAAGGACTTTGGACCTTGGAAGGAACACATACTGGGGGAATGCAGCTGCTGAACTGGACCAAAGTGGAACAACGGGCTTTTGAGAAGGTTCTCGCCTCAGCACCTGCCCTAGCCTTGCCAGACGTGGTGAAGCCCTTCCACCTCTACGTGAGTGAGGTAAGGGGCATTGCCAAAGGGATTTTCACTCAGACTCTAGGTCCCTGGAAGAGACCTGTTGCCTAAGAGACTGGACCCTGTGGCAGCAGGGTGGCCAGTGTGCCTCCGGGAAGTGGCTACCACAGCATTGCTGGTGAAGGAGGCAGATAAGCAGACTCTGGGCCAGGAGCTACACTGGCTTTCAGCCCTACTGGCCTGCTTATGGATGATGGTCCAGAGGAGCCCATTCGTGGCTGCATGGAGGTGACGCAGTGCTGCCATCATCACCAGATGAGGTAGAGGCAGCGGTAGTCACCCTGGACCACACCATTTGGGCACAGTTCCTGAACTTTTGGCCTTAATCCAGGCCCTTTGATGGGGACACTGTGCCATCCACAGAGAAAGAGGGTTACCAACTGCAGCCGGAAGGAGTTGGCTGAACAGAAGAAAGCAACTGAAGGACCAGATGATTGGTAGACCCTCCAGATGACAGGCTGTTGGTCCCAGAGGCTCTAGGTCAGACGTTAGTTGCCCAGTGACACCAGGTTACCCACTTAGGTGTCACCAAGATGTCTGAGCTTCTGTGAGGCAGAGTTGTTAGAAGTACTGTCTATGCACAAGTAAATGTTAAGCAAGGTAAGGGGGTCCCGCTGGGAATTCGGGTCCCAGGAAACTTCCCCAGGAGAGCATTGGTAGGTGGATTTCAGAGATTAAGCCACCAGCATTAAGGTCTAGTTCTTGTAGACACTTCAGATTAGGTTGAAGTATACCCCACTGGGACAGGAACTGCCTCTATAGTGGTCAGGAGATTATAACTAGATTCGGGCTGCCAGTAGTCATGGGATCAGATAACAGCCCAACCTTTGTAGCCAAGGTATCTCAAAGTATAGCTCAGGCCTTGGGACAGGCTTAAGCAGGACTCTGAAAAGGAGTTTAACTAAATGTGTCCTAGAACCTGCGAAAATTGGACCAACCCCCTGTCCTTCGCCCTCTTATGGGCCAGGTGTACCTTCTACTGGGATGGGCTCCCCCATCTTTTGGGGATCATGTATGGTAAACCTCCCTCCATCCTTCCCAGGGTCAGGGAGTAGGAGAAAACTGGAATTCAAAACTATTCCTTTGCTCAAGTCCTTACAGGCTCTGTAGTTTTCTTGTTCCAGATGGACTGCCAGTGCCCACAGCAGACCCTGTAGCCCAGGAACTCAGTGTGGGTAAAGAAATTCACTGCCCAAGGACTCAAAGGATACTACACTGTTATCCTGAGCACGCCCACGGCTGTTGAAGTAGACGGCACCCAGATCTGACTACATGACTCCCAGCTCCTGCATGGCCTGAATCAACCTCACCTATGAGATCCCTAGCCTGGGCTCCACGCAGGCCAGGAGGAAACTTGATGCCTAGAGGAGGGGAACAGGACTTCAGTGAGGACAATACTTACGGGAACTGTGGTACTAAGGGTCTTGGTAACTGTATTTGTTGTTTATACTGATTCTTACTCATGTTGTCAAGAAGCTTTTTATTAGCCAGTGAGAAAGTCCAGGGCTAAGTAAGACTAGATAACAGAACAATGAATGCAAGCAGGCTGTCAATGATTTGACTTATGCACATAAGACAAGGGGGGAATGAGAGGGCAGGGTGGGGCAGGGCTAACTCCTGACTCCATTTTGTACTGTGAGGCAGGGCGGAGTAGGGCAGAGCTATCCTCCATTTTGTGTAACTGGACTCTAGCCCTCACCCAACCAATCAGGGTCAGCCAAAGCTGTGACATCACCACCCCTATAAAACCCCTTGACCTGTGGAAGCTTGTTCTTTCTTCCACTACGAGGTTGGCGTGAGTGGGACAGAGCCCATGCTGGCATGGAATTCAGGCTTTCTGCAATTGCATCAGACTCAGCTCCCTGGAGGTCCTTGGGGATCACAAATCTGGGCATAACAATTGTATATCTTAAACTTACAAATGTTATATGTCAATTATATCTAAATAAAGCTTAAAAATAAATACCTACAAGAAAACAAAAGGATTTTTCTTACACTGTAGTTCCCCCTTATCCATGGGCAATATGTTCCAAGACCCCCCAGTAACCAAACCATATATATATATGATGTTTTTTTCTACACATATCTATGATAAAGTTTAATTTATAAATTAGGCACAGAGATTAATAATTATAAAGAATGAATAGAACAATTATAACAATATGTTTTAATAGAAGCTATGTGAATTTGGTCTCTCTCATTTCTCTCTCTCAAAATATTTTTTGAATTGCTTATTTCTGAAATTTTCAATTTAATATTTTCAGACTATAGTTGACTGCAGGTAACTGAAACTTCAGAAAATGAACCCATGGGTAATATGAAACCATGGCTACTGTACCTAGTGTATCATGCTAGTTCTCTCATTAACTAATCTATACATATAAAAAACCAGCAACCAGGGGAAGATCCAAGATGTCAGCATAGGTAAACACCTAAACAGCTGCCTCTCACAATTTCAAAACTACAACTAAAAGACAAAATGTCTATCACCCAGAACCACGGGGAAGCTGGCTGATTGGAAGTTCTACAACTACAAGGAAATAGAAAAGAGCATTGAGATGTGCACAAGCGCTGAAAAGCTAAAGTAGGGAGATACATGCGAACCAGGCTGGCAGAGGGCATTGTTTCCTTTTCAACCCAAAGGAATATAAGCTCCTGATTTCTCTGAAATACAGTTTCTGGGAAGATGTGGAGGACCCAAACACCTATGGGGATAAGCTGGACTGTCTGCCATCGGGTTGAAAAGTGAGGTTGGCTTGCTTGCAGAGCTGCATAGAGGAATTATTGTTTGCTGTGCTGGGGTGCAAGACACGGGGACATGGTCAGAGGTGCAGGGATGGCTGGTTGGCAGCCTTAGCTGTTTGCCACACCCTAGCCTGGTGATGCCCTGAGACCCCGCCCCACACAACCTACTAACCCACCCAAGCTCCAAGAAGCAGCTTTTGCATATGAATGGCCTTCCCTATTGCAGCTTAACCTAGCAAACTGGCAACCTGGGTCAGATAGCTCCAAAACCTCCAAACCCCAAGCAAAGAGGAAAAAACTGTAGTTCTCCCTGTGGCTCCTACAGGGTGGCCTCAGACAATAGCTGACCTGCACCCCATTGGAGATCCAGAAGCCAGTGTACCTAGTGGTCAGTGTGAGACACTAGATTTCAACTCCTCACATTCGTAAGTGACACATTCAAGAGGCAGACTCAGTGAGCATTAAAGCCTCACTGAAACAAGTCTACACCATAAGCATGTCTCCAGCACAGCAGTTCTTCCATTAGAGACACAGCAGGTCCTCACAGACAATTGGCCTGGAGGTCAACTCCTCCCAGTGTAGCAACAGCAATCAAGGCTTAACTACACCAAGACTTTGCACTCAGCCCACAAAGGGGTATACCAAGAACGTCCACCTCAAGTGATTGGGGAGGTTGAGCTACTGGCCCCTATAGGTCACCGACCACACAAAGCCACTCCATCAACACAGGGAAGCCCCCAAAATGCAGAGGCACAGAAGCATGTCACGAATGAAAGAAATGGAGGAAAGCAAAATACTGGACAACATAGAGTTCAAAACCACATTTATAAGGTTACTCAAGAGCTTTTAAAAACCGCTGAGAAACTTGATGAGACCTCCGAGGAGTTTAGTGAGACATTCAAGGACCTTAATGAGAATGCCAAAAAAAAAAAAAAAATGGAAAAGGACCAGTCAGAAATTAAGCATATACTATCTAAAATAAAGAATATACAGAAACTCAACTGTAGATCAACATACCCCAAGAATCAAACTGAAATATGAGAAAACAAAAAACACCCAACCAGAAAAGCAAAAAGAAAAAAGAATCCAAAAATATGAAGATAGTGTAAGGAGCCTCAGAGACAACTATAAGTGTGCCAACATCCGAATTATTGAGGTGCCAGAAGAAGAGAGAGAGCAAAATATTGAAAACTTATTTGAAGAAATAATGACAGAAAAATTTCCCTGCCTGGTGAAAGAAATAGACTTATAAGTCCAGGAAGCACACAGAACCTCAAACAAGAGGAATCCAAAGAGGACCACACCAAGACACAACATAATTGAAATGCCAAGGCAAAAGATAAAGAGAGAATCTTACAAGCAGAAAGAGAAAAAGAGTTAGTTACCTTCAAGGGAGTACCCATACGACTGTCAGCTATGCAGGCCAGAATGGAGTGGCAAGAAATATTCAAAGCGATAAACAGAAAGAACCTACAACCAAGATTACTCTACACAGCAAAGCTATCATTTAGAATTGAAGGTCAGATAAAGAGCTTCACAGACAAAGCTAAAGGAGTTCATTGCCACCAAACCAGGATTATATGAAATGCTGAAGGGTATTCTTTAAGAAGAGGAAGAAAAAGGTAAAGGTAAAAATTATGAACAACAAAAAGACATCAAATACATACCTACCAAAAAGTGAATCTAAAAATCAAGTAAATAAAAAATCTGAAGAACAGAATGGACTGGTAATATAATAGAATCAGGGATATAGAAAGGGAGTGGACTGACAATTCTCAGGGGGAAGGAGGTGTGAGGGGTGCAGGAAGAGTTTGGACAAAAATCTTACACCTATGGATGAAGACAGTGGCGGGGGTAAGGGCATGGGGAGGGGTGAGGAATCAGGTGGAGGGGAGATATGGGGGGAAAAAAAGAGGAACAGCTCTAATAATCTGAATAAAGATTTATTAAAATAAATAAATGAATAAATAAAAAATTAAAAACCATCAACCAGAATGCTGGAACAACTGGAACAACCAATGCATATGATGCCCACTGTGGCCAGTGAACCAGCCTGATTGAGGGGCGGACCTGGCTGGCCAAGCTCCTGCAGCTCCGACCCCAGCCAGCCCTGCCTCCATCAGCCGGCTCCACCCCCATAGGCCCACTGCCCCTCCCCCTAACCTGCCCAACCCCTGATCCTCCCCCCCCTCCCAGACCAATAGGGGGTGCATCTGTCAGGGCAACCTCCTACAGCCCCTGGCCTCACCTGACCCCACCCCAGATCAGCTCCCCACCCCAATCAGGGGCAGGGCCAGCCAGCCAAACACTTGCAGCTCCTCCCCACAGCCAGCGCCACCCCCTGTTCACCTTTCCCACACACTAATCGGGTGTGTGGCTGGGCAGCCAACCTCTCACAACCCCTCCCACAGCCACTAACCGGGACCAGTCCCCAACCCCCAATGGGGTGGCCAGCCAACCAACCTCCCACCGTCTCCTCCTCCCCAAACAGGCCCAGCCTCAATCCGCCCCCATTGGGTTGACCGACCCCACCCATGCATAAATTCGTGCACTTGGCCTTTGACTTTTAAAAAATCTTTTAATATATTTCTATTGATTTCAGAGAGGAAAGAAGAGGGAGAGTGACACAGAGATGGAAAGAGAGAGATGATAAGAGAATCATTGATCAGCTACTTCCTATGCCCCTCCTCCCTCCCACTAGGGATCAAGCCTGAAACCTGGGCATGTGCCCTGATGGGGAATCCAACCATGTCCTGTCCTCCTTGTTCATACATCAAAGCTTAACCACTGAGCCATGTAGGCTGAGCTCTTTTACTTTTTTTAAAAGGTATTTGGAAGACAAGGAATCCAAGAAACAGCATATTCAATCCAGGGCATCACTAAAAAGAGATTCAACTTTTAGAAATAAGCTATGAACAGACCCCAAGACAATCATTGTTACAAAAGAATGTTAACATTTTCAATTTTGACAATATTTTTTATAAGTGTGGGTACCTCAATTTGGCAAGTGGAAGCTTATAGAAGAGGAAGAAGGAAGAGCAGTGATGTCAATACTTTCATCTTCCAAGAAGGCCACACTTAAGGGATGAAGACACAAAAATAAGCACGTGAATGAAAATAGTAACTGAAAGAAGGGTGATGTAAGGTGACTCATGATTTAAAGCAGAGTTTTAGCAATTGGACAATTATACAGCCCAAAAAGTCCTCATCCAAATCTTGAGGGAGTTCTGAAGCTTCAAGGGCCCTTCAGAGTTGACCCAAATTAGGGTGAGGCTCGGGACCTCTACAGCCCCACAGTGAGCAGTCACTGGAGAGTTCCCCTGGGAAGGGGCTGACATTGGGTGAGGCAGCCATTCTCACCTAAGGCTACTCTGGAGGAGAGCTTTGAGCTAACTGTCAGCCAGCAACTGAAGGAATAAATCTTTGATTACTGAAAAGAGGAGACTGGGTGGATCAGGAGAGCATCTCTACAGGAGCACTTGTTCTAGTCACTGGGAATACATATATTTTGGGGGTGGAAGAAAACAAAGTAAATATTTTTTTTTAATTATCAGCTCTTAAATTCCATTAACTCAACTGACTCTCTCTGTTAACTTATGAATTCTGTTCCTTAAATTAAACATTCCCAGGTCATCAGGAGTCAAGGTTATGTTGCAGTAAGTTATTAACCTGCAGTAGAAATTTAATCTTCATGCCTTAACTGAATAAAGAGGACTCAATTCTACATTCAAGGGTTCTGGCTTATGGAGTTTCCAACATCTTGTACACCATTAATCATCTCAACAATGGCTTCCAGAAAAAGACAAAGTAGACACAGTTAACACCCACTTTCAAGTTCTATTGCCTGGTACTAGTCACATTATTCCACATGAACCACAGAGGAATCTGGGAAATGTGAATAAGCTTATGGAATGTTGATGACTGCCACTGTCCCTGAAAAATGTATCCTGATGTGATGGAGGTTAAAGCCACAGGGTAAATACCAGCAGGTTTTTCTCTAGCACACCCATACATTTCTCCAAGATGTATGCTTACTAAGACTGAGCTCTTCTTTTAGAAACTTGTATATACAGGATTACTATTATTTTAAATTATTAGTTAAAGATTATATTATCCAATGAAATCTGGATGCAATATATTTGTTGCTATGAAGCTGTCACTGAAAGGGAAGAAGACTGACCCTGTCATTAAAAGGAATCCCCCAGCAGGTGGCCAGTGTGGCAGTGTGGAACCATAAGAATGCCCTAGAACATACTGGACCACTTACCCTTATAAGAGGGCTTATGTTTCTACTAGAAAAGTCAGATCTCCATGTCTGCCTAACCTCTGGGTCAGGTTCAGTATCCAGCCTTATAGAAAATATTGTCAAAAATATATTTGCTTGTCTTTGCAGCTTCAAAAGCGAAGTGCTATATAGAGAGAATAAGGGCTCCCTAGACACCCACACAAGTGTTCCCATTTCCTTAAGTGTTACCAGTCTTAACTCCCTTGATAAATGACAGTGTTCATCCCGAGAAGAAGACAAAATCAGCACAAAACCTCTGACAACTCAGCACCTTGTTCTGGGCAGATTCAGACCTTGGGGAGCAGAGTTCTCCTGGGTGTATCTGCCCACACCTTCACAGCCTGGGGCTCAAAAGACAATGGCCACAGAAAAGCCTTGTTCTCCATTCTGATTTCATCATCAGACTCAGTTAAGGGGGCAGGGCGAGGCTAACTCCTGATTCCATTTTGTACTGTGGGGCAGGGCGGGACTAACTCCTGATCCTCCATTTTGTATGTCACTGTGTAACTGGACCCTAGCCCTCACCCAATCAATCAGGTGTAGAGGGCCAAATGGGAAGACACCTGGACATTCTATAGATTGTTGCTGACTGGGCCCTGGATATTGGCAGAATCATGTCAGTTGTACTCCTGCCCTGGGAGTGCGGAGATGTTCTTAGTTCCTGGCTTGTGTTTGTTCAGGAGGAAGGAGTGGGTGGGACCTGGGCTCTCCCAGGCTCATTGTTTTCCTGTGAAACCCCTTGTTGGATTGGAGTATAAATAGATATGCTGCATGGCTTAGGAGGTTGTCAGTCTGTCTCTCCAGCAGAGGAGGTCAGCGGCCCTCCCGGCTCTCAGCTTGAAATCTATTTCTATGTCTTCTCTCTTTATTTCTAATATTTCTTAACCCCTGGGCACCTCCACTTAGAACCGATTCGTTCATCTCTCTTTCCATGTGGGATGCGGAAAAGGGAGATCCCCACAGCTTCAGGCCCCCGCAATAGGGGTCAGCCAAAGCAGTGACATCACCACCCCTCCCAAGACCCCTATAAAACCCTTTGATCTGTTGAAGCTCACTCTCTTCCACCTCGCCGCTGCTTTGGTGTAAGACAGAGCTTGGGCTAGCCTGAATAAATGGCTCTTTTGCTTTTGCATCGGACTCGGCTCCCTGGTGGTTTTGGGGGATCCTGAAATCTGGGCATAACACCAGTGAGTGGGTGAGGGAGCAGGGAGGAAGGAAGGCCTTCCATTATCTCAAAGACAAGCTCTCAGCCACCTGGCCATATAACAAACCCAGAGACTGAGATGGAGTCCAGCCTTCTGTGCTGGCCCATGTCAAGGAAGCCTTCGAGTGCAGGGACCTCTTTAACACCTGGGAAGAGAATATCAACAGGATTCAACAGGTCACTACATCCCCGGACAAGGAAAGCTCTGTCCTTGGGGAATTCCAGCTCAGCAGTGCCATCAGGCGACTAGGCAGGAGACAAGGGGTGAGGTGGGTGTGAGTCAGCATTTCTGGCAATGCGCCCTGGAAGCAGAGCATACTCTGCCACTCCTCTCCAGGGCCCACAGAAACACACTGCCCCCTATGCCATCCACTGTGATGGGGTTGGAGGCCGGGGTGCTCCACATGGTGGGTGTGGACACCTTCACACTGGGCAGCCATTACACATCACCAAGATCTCTGGAAGGTCTGGTCCAGGTGTCGGCAACCTACGGCTCCAGAGCCGCATGTGGCTCTTTTGAAGCTTTGCCGCGGCTCCGACAGCAGGGCCAACACTAGCAGGGCCGATAGCAGTGGGGGGCAGGGAGCTGTATCACTTACCTCCGCCGCCTCTGGTGCTCCCGGCACTCTGTGTGGCAGGTTGCCAGTGACTTAGCGTCACTAGGCAACCACAGTGTCCCTGTCCTGGCCCAGCCTCTTCCCTTACATCACAGCGTGTGTTGTCACTGAGGGCACGCTGAGCGTGCACCTCTGAGCTGGGGAGGAGGAGACTGCTGCGAGGGGAAAGAGGTGTTGACAGAGGGGACACTGAAAAATAATAAAAATTTTTAAAAAGCAATAAAGAGAAAAAATGGAGAAGGAAAAAGAAGACAGAGAGGACAGAGAGGACTGGAGAAAGAGAAAGAGATGACTTGCAGTGTGACTGTCACTGGGAGTCGGGCCTGTACAGTGAGTGGAGAACAAGAGCCTAAAAGAGAAAAAACAGCAGCCAGGTAAAAAAAAAAAAAAAATTAACAGATACTAATTTTTGTTGTTGGTTAAGCAGGGGAGACAGGTCCTTTTGTAAGGTGTACACTGTAGGAAATTTGTGGCTATTATATAAAAAATTACTTTTAAATAAATAAATTAATTAAATTATTATTTACATTTTTATTTAATTTATTTAATTTAATTTACGGAATATTGGGGGGCCTGATGAATTATTTTTATGGCATGCATGGCTCACTAATTAATTTACAAAATATTGGGGACCTGATGAATTGTTTTTTTTTAAAAAAGGTGACTTGTTAATTTAACGTTTATTTCTATGAGAAGGAGTAATTCTGAGGGGGTCAAACAAAGAAATAATTTTTAAAAAGTGGCAAAATTATTTTTATGATGAGGAAGAGTAATTCTGAGGGGTTTGGAAAAGAAATAATAAAAAAGTGAGAAAAAATATTTTTATGATGAGGAAGGCTTCTTGAGGAGATCAGAAAAAGAAATTATTACCAAAAAGTGACAAAAACATTATTTTTATAATGATGAGGATGATATTGGGCCCTCATTATTAATTATTATTTACACCAGGCACTGATTGTGATTTATGGTACACTGGGGCCCTGATTAATTTTGTGATTTCTTATTACATCCCTGTTTTCGACCCCCGGTAGGCCAGCCATGGATAAAGGCAAGAAGAGAAAATTTTCTGAAGAAAACAGAGTGTTTAATGATACATGGACTGAATCATTTGCATTCTCTACTGACGAGACTGGTTTACCAGTATGTTTAATATGTGGTGAGAAATTTGCAAACAACAAAAAGTCGAATGTTGCAAGACACTTCCAGAATAAACACACAGCCTTTGCTGAAAAATATCCAGATGGAGATGAGAGATGAAAAGCCATTGTAGAACTTATGAGGAAGGTTGATAGGAGCAAAAATAATTTCAAGAAGTGGGTGAAGTCTGAAAATTCCACACAACATATGCTAGTTTTGTGGCCGCTCAGGAAATAGTCAACCACGGGAAGCCGTTCACAGATGGAGAGTATATAAAAGAAGCATTCATTAAGGTTTCAGAACATCTATACAAAGACTTCAAAAACAAGAATGAAATTGTGCAGAAAATTAAAGACATGCCTCTCTCTGTGAAGACTGTCAAAGACAGAACCCTAAAAATGGCAGAAAACATTAGCAAACAGCAAATTCAAGACATTTATTCAGCTGTGGCGTACTCCATCGCCTGTGATGAGTCCAAAGATAAAGGTGATATTGTACAAATAGCGCTGTTCTGCCGATATGTGAACTCTTTTGGGCCACAGGAAGAACTGATTGAGCTGATACCACTAAAAGACCAAACAAGGGGTGAGGATCTGTAAGGCTGTCCTGGACTATTTAAGTGCTGAAAAAATAAACACCAACCACCTGGTCTCAGTGGCTACTGATGGGGCACCGAGCATGAGAGGAGCACAGAAGGGCTTTGTGGCTCTACTGCAGAAGGCTCTGGGTAGAATGCTGCTCTCATTTCATTGCATCCTGCACCAAGAGGCATTGTGTGCTCAAACATTTCCCCCGGAATGCACAAAAGTGATGGATGTGGTCATTCAGATTGTTAATAAGATAATGGCAGAGGGTTTAAACCACTGCCAGTTCCGTTTGCTATTGGATGAGGTGGAAAGCATATATTTTGACCTCCTGCTCCACAACAAGGTCCAGTGGCTGTCCAGAGGCGAGGTGCTAAAACGCTTTGTCGCATGTTTGGAAGAAGTAAAAAATTTCCTGGCCAGCAAAGAGTTCACCTTTCCTGAGCTGGAACAACCAGAGTGGCTGGAAAAATTACACTTTATGGTAGACATGACAGCACATCTAAACACACTAAATACAACCCTTCAGGGGGAAGGAGGCACAGCCCTGCACATGCTGGAGGAGGTTTTGGCATTCGAGCTCAAGTTGACAGTGTTTGTCAAAGATTTACAGAGAGGTACACTGTCTCACTTTCCCTCTTAGAGAGAGTTCAAACAAAGTCATGATATGATAAATTTGGGACATTTGAAGTCTGCAATCACCACAATGCAAAGTTCATTTGGGAAACGATTCTGTGAGTTCAGAGAGGACAAAACCACATTATCCTTCCCTGTCACTCCCTTTGCGATCGATCCATCCCTATTGAATATGACTGCATTTGCAGGTGTAAGTCAACCTGATCTTGAGATGGAACTGGCCGACATAGCCAACAAAGATATATGGGTGTCCAAGTTCAAATGCTTGGCCGCTACTCTTGAGGATGCTGCCTGTCAGAAGGCCATTCTGGCTCAGAATCATAAATGGAGTGATATTGAAAACCTTCCCAAACAGGACAAACTTGTATTCGAAACATGGAATGCCATCCCCAACACTTATATAAACATGAAAAAGTATGCATTTGGAGTCCTGTTGATCTTCGGCTCCACATATGTATGTGAGCAGGTCTTCTCCAACATGAAGTATATTAAAAACAAACATCGATCACTCCTCACAGATGACAACTTGCAAGCCTGTGTGAAAATGAAGGTAACATCTTACAGCCCTGATGTGCAGACACTGTGCACTGAGGTTCAAGAGCAAAAATCCTATTAACCAGGTAAATTAAATATTTTAATTAGCTATTAATTTGCAAAAATATATTTTACATTGTTAAGTGAAAAAGTCCTTTTTTTCTTCAGATTGACAGCTAACTGCATGATCCGGTATATAGTATAGCATTAAGGTAAGAAACAATATATGCAGTGTTATATTTGTTTTAAATGTCGCAATGGTTTTGCAGCTCCCAGGTTTTTTTTCCTTCGGGCCTGTGTGAAAATGAAGGTAACAGCTTACAGCCCTGATGTGCAGACACTGTGCACTGAGGTTCAAGAGCAAAAATCCTATTAACCAGGTAAATTAAATATTTTAATTAGCTATTAATTTGCAAAAATATATTTTACATTGTTAAGTGAAAAAGTCCTTTTTTTCTTCAGATTGACAGCTAACTGCACGATCCGGTATATAGCATTAAGGTAAGAAACAATATATGCAGTGTTATATTTGTTTTAAATGTCGCAATGGTTTTGCGGCTCCCAGGTTTTTTTTCCTTCGGAAATGGGTCCAAGTGGCTCTTTATGTCTTAAAGGTTGCAGACCCCTGGTCTAGTCCATATTCCTACTGAAGGGGTTGAACGCAAGGCTCTCTGTATCCATGTACATGATGATGCTTTTGAGAGTTGTGCATGTTACTAAGGAGAGTCAACCAGAATCTTTCCTAAAATGGTTCAAACTTTGGTAGACACTCTAGAAATATACAACAGAGACAGGCAGTCACATACCTACACAGATGTAGAGGGCTCCTTGGGAATGCACATGGATGACCTTTAATTATCATCAGCTGAACTCAGGGCATAGGCAGAGCCATGCCCTGGGAACATGTTTCCCCAAAATGTGGGAGACTGTTATCAGTAGAGATTTCTTATCTTTATCCATGTGCTTGGAATGAGGAATGAATAGGACCTTGACTTACCCAGGTCTTAATATGCTAAATCCTAGGAATAAGGAATGAATAGGACCTGGGCACACCCAAAATTTCTTAAACCCCCACCCCTTTTTTGGAAATAAATAAATGCACCGTGTTATCTGTGGTGGGTAGTTGACTGTCTCCATCAGAGTGACAGTCCCCCACCTGGGTCCCAGCTTGTCTCTATTTCTATGTCTTGGTCTCCTTTCTTTTTCTTCTTTTTTAATTTCTTAATCCCCAGCTCCTCCACTCAGGAACCTGTCATTTTCCGTGTGGGTCGAGGAAAACGGAGAAATAGCCCCACACACACAGAAACAAAGGTAAGTTGTGCGGTGATAAGAAAGATGCAAAAAGAAACATAGGGAGGTCAATAGATGCAGGTAAATGGTGGCAGAGGTACAGCTTGAAATAGAGACAGGGATACAATGAAAGAGCAAGAGACACAGGGATGCAGAGTCAGACAGGAAAAGATGCAGACAAGCTGAAAAAATATAAAGGAACAAAGAGAAATATAGGAGAAGAGAAAGGGGCACAGATAGAGTTATAACAGGAAGAGGACGACTAAGACCTCAATGAATACCTGGATCCAGTCTCTTCTGAAATCAACTGGACCCCAGCCTTCACTGTAACATGAGCAAACTAAACTTTCAATCATTTGGAACCAAGAATATTTCTTTTATTGCTGGTTTTACTTTTCCAAAAATAAAAACTGACCTTGATTAATGTGATTTGCCAAGACATCTGAGACATGAATTTGGTTCTCGGAGACATGAGGGGACACTGTACCTGGGCCAGGTAATTCCACCTGCTGACACACCTCGACCCACCAGGCTGGAAGAGAGGCCGCATATCCTGTGGCCACGGCACTGAACATCAATAACCAAAGAGCCAGGAAGGAGGACCATTGAAATGTTCTCTCTGCCCACGTTTATCACAGCACCCCACCCCACGATGCTCTAGTCTCCCTCCAGGGGCAAAGCCTGCGCCTTCCATTCTGCAGGGGCTTCCTGCCTCCACCCAGGTAAGAAGGCTCAGGATACAGATAACGTGCTTAATTGTGACAAAAGCTCTGGAGTCAGGTAAAGGCTTTAATGTGCTTCTCTTGGACAGTGCAGCAGGTGGGGGAGGGGGGACAAAAGAAAAATGCGTTGGGGGCCTTGAGTACACCCAGATGGCAGCCCACAGGACAGACCCCAAGGCCACAGCAATGGCCTCTAGGGGGTCACAGGAGATGCCTGGATGACTGCATCAGAGTAACTGGGACGCTGATCTCAGAGGGAGCAGGCTCTCAGGCAGCTGGGAAATCTGGGCGAGGACAACAGGCAGGCATTTCAGAAGAAACACAGCCGATCCCACTCAAAGCACCCGCAGGAGTCAGCGCAGGAGCCCTGTAGGAGAGAGAGTGGTCAGCACCCACATCTGAGGACACACCCTGTCGCCACCTCTCTGGCCCAGCAGCATCAGGTAAAGCTGAGTTCCCACATACATTCATCACCTCCCCCAGAGTCTGTCGGGGTGAAATCAGCTGAAGAGGACACACACTTTGGCTCACACAGACAGCTGTTACCCTAGGGGGATATGAGCATTTCATCTTTTTAGTAAAGTTAATGAAACTAACCCTCTGTCCACCACTAGGAGTCAGTTGTAAGTGCCCACAGGCAGGAGCCACCAGCATGTGGCACAAAGTGGGCATCATCCCTGTGCCTACCACCCAAGACGTAGCTCTGCCTTCACAGAAAGATTCACCAAAGTTAAACCCTGGTTCTGGATAACAAGCCCGGAGCTTCCTTCAGAAACTGGGCGAGCTTCTCCCCAAATCCTTGGTCTCTGGAAGGGACACGCCATGAACCACGACCTTTGTGACCAGATACACTCACCTCCCACCCCTCCCTCTTTTTCCTGTCCTAGCACCCCCGCCATCCTCCCCGCCCCCATTAAGTCAGAGCAGAGACAGCACCTGAGGGAGGCCCTCGAGATCCCACCAAAGGACTTTACACAGAGACAGGTCTCATCACACAGCCGGTCCCTCTCCCACCCACAGACAATGAGAGAAGCAACTCAATTGGAAATCTATGTCCTCCCTACCCATCAGCCACACGGCCTTAGCCCTAAGCTGCAATCCCCCGAATGAGTGGACCTTTCACCAGGAGGAAGGGAAACCAATGCACTGACCTTAAAGAAGCAGCTTCTGGAAAGGGGCCAGCGAGACAGGGATGAGCTCTCAGCCCAGGGCTCTCGCCATAGCACGCCTGTGGCAGGGCTACCTTTCAACCCATGAACTCGAGTCCAAAGCCTCGCCCGGCTGTCCATCCTCTCCCACCACCAGCCAGGTTGTCCGTCCTCTCCCACCACCAGCCCGGCTGTCCGTCCGTCTTCTCCCACCACCAGCCTAGCTGTCCGTCCGTCCTCTCCTACCACCAGCCAGGCTGTCCGTCCTCTCTCAGCCCGGCTGTCCGTCCTCTCCCACCACCAGCCTGGCTGTCCGTCCGTCCTCTCCTACCACCAGCCAGGCTGTCCGTCCTCTCTCAGCCCAGCTGTCCGTCCTCTCCCACCACCAGCCTGGCTGTCTGTCCGTCCTCTCCCACCACCAGCCAGGCTGTCTGTCCTCTCTCAGCCTGGCTGTCCGTCCTCTCCCACCACCAGCCCGGCTGTCCGTCCTCTCCCAACACCAGTCAGGCTGTCCGTCCTCTCCTACCACGGGCCCGGCTGTCCGTCCTCTCCCAACACCAGCCCGGCTGTCCGTCCTCTCAGCCCGGCTGTCCGTCCTCTCCCACCACCAGCCCGGCTGTCCGTCCTCTCCCAACACCAGTCAGGCTGTCCGTCCTCTCCTACCACGGGCCCGGCTGTCCGTCCTCTCCCAACACCAGCCCGGCTGTCCGTCCTCTCAGCCCGGCTGTCCGTCCTCTCCCACCACCAGCCCCGCTGTTCGTCCTCTCCCACCACCAGCCTGGCTCCTGCCTTCCAGGTCGGGAGGTGAGTCACACCTAGATGCAGAGGCCCCTCAACAGAAGGTCCCGGGCACAGCCCATCTTCCCGTTTCCCAGGTGCTTACCCTTCTGCTTCCTGTGACGGACGACAAGGCCCAGCCCCAGGAAGATCAGCCCCAGCACGAAGCCCCCGACGCCACTCAGCATCTTGCTCTGGGCGGATCCAGACTGCGCCCCTGGGGAGCAGAGCCTGGGTGTCAGCTTCTGTGCCCAAACCCACAGGGGCCCTTTGGGAGCCTCCACCCCGGGGCAGGACCAGCCAGTAAGCCCTTGGGCACCGTGGGTGGTGACAGGGGAAAGTGGGTCCTGCTCCTTCACACACATCCTAACCTTGGACCCCAAGCCCCGTCATCAGCTGCCACAGTCTGCCCCCCGGAGCTCCCAGGCTGGGTACCGGGCACAGTGTACACTGTAGAGTGACCTCCCTAGTGTCTGAAAACAATGAGATCTGATGCCCCTGACATGGCACCAGAGGGCACTAGCATCCTGTGATGTCCACTCAGCAGTGGCATCAGGGGCAGGGATGTGATGGGACAGCCAGGGCCCTGTTTGCCCTCTGTCTGTGGGGCCCAGGGTGCAGGGAAGAAAGTCCCCTTACGCCACTCCACTGTGATGGGGCTCTGGAGGGTGATGTGCTCCACGCGGCAGGTGTAGGCGTCTCCGCGCTGGGGGGTCATTTCCAGCATCACCAGGACCTGGTAGGTCCAGTCCCCGTTCTTGATGACGGGGGTGGACACGACGCCGGCCGTCTCCTCCTGGTCGTTCCGGAACCACCGGACTCGGACCTGGGCTGGATAGAAGTCCGTCACCGAGCAGACCAGCATGTTGTGGTGGTTCAGGGCCTCTGTCCTGGCCGGGGAGACGGTCACTGTGGGCTCCGCTGGGAGGGGGGGTAACAGACAGGAAAAGACAGAGTGAGGTGTGACCCACGGGGAGGGGCCTCCCTGAACCAGCGGGAAAGATGCCTGGATTCCAAGACCGGGATGAGGACCCAGGCTGGGCCATTGATTAGCTGAGTAAACACATGAGTCAGTTAACTTTTCCGAGTCAAGAACTAACTGCAATAATTTTATGGGAGTTATTCTATTAACAATTAATAAAAATGAAGCCCTTGAAGTGTTTAAATTGCTAGGTTATACAGGCCACTAGTCACAATGTTTTTAAATAAAGATGAAAAGCCTGGGCTTCTTTTCCCTCCACCTTGACAGGGACCCTGGGATCCGCTCCAGGGACTCCCACCAGGGCAGCGACCCTGTTTCCTGTTGGTCCCGCAGCTGCGCACAGTGGAGAGAATGCATCAGTTTGAGTCTCAGGGGCCTGAGACCCTCAGCACTGGTCACGGCTTCAGGAACAGTGACAGGGACTGAGGATTAGGAACCTTACAGACAGTTTATGTCCAACAGAACAGGAAGCAGTGAGCATCACTTCCTCCCTCCGCAGCAACATTCTCAAACAGGCTCTTCCCTGCCATTCTCAGTGGAAACACGGACAGGGTTTAAGGGCAGGAGCACTTCTCAAGTGTCACCATCAACAAAGCCCTCTCGGCTGTTAGCCTAACCCAGCTCAGAAGCCATTCTGTGGCAAACTCCCATTAGGATGCATACTATTAAATAATAAACTTCATGTCCATGCCATATATGCCACCTATGTTTTATCCATTTACTGATTCACTTATTCATTCATTCAACAAATATAAATTCCACATGCACTAAGAAAAGAAAGGTAAACAACAGACCACGGTCCCTGCCCTTATAGAACTTGCAATCTAGTAACAGAGACAAAAATAAATAAATGTTATTTCCAAAGTTTGTAATATTTGAAGGAAAAGAGAACTTTGAAAACATGTAACACTGATAGACATCATGCTTGGCCATGTCTCGATTCCTTTATGTCCTCAGATTGCCTCGTGTGGTCAAATACTACAGACCTCTTCCTCCCTATTTACACATCTTGTCCCCCGCCTCTCCTGCCATTTTACTGCATCTCTCTTATTCTCACGGTGTGAAACTATACTGAATACTTCACGTGTGCATTTTACTTATTTATTTATTGATTGATTGATTGATTGATTTATTGATTTATTTATTTTGAGAGAGAGAGAGAGAAGGGGGAGGAGAAAAAAATATATTGATCTGTTCCTCCTGCATGCACCCTGACCAGGGATCAAAGCCACAGATTGAGCATGTGCCCAGACCACTAATTGAACCCATGACCTTCCAGTTCATGAGACAGTGCTCAACCACTGAGCCACACCAGCCAGGCTCACTTAGACTCTTGTCAGGTTCTCCTTCCTAGGGACTGACTAAAAGCATGGTCAGCTAGCTGGATTTACAAAAGCTGTCAGCTTTAGACAGCTGGGGATAAAAAACAGGGCATGAGTTAAAAAGAAAAAATGTTAGAATAATTTTTATGAAAATAGATCTAAAATGGCAAAAATATAAGCACTTGGTAGCAATAGGATGTGGACATGAAGGTGAGAGAGTGCAAAGTCAGCAAAAGTTATGAGAACGTGTGCAGATAACACTGGAGCCAGACTAGGGATTCACAAGTGAACTTTCCATCCCACCAGCACTGAAAAAGGCAGGAACAGACTCATTTTGCTGTTTCTGATCATAACAGCTTTATGAGGCTGTGCTCCCAGTGTATACATGTAGTATTCACATGCAATACAGAACACAACGACTGCTGTGTAGTGCATAGCTGGGCTAGTTCATTCAAGTGATTATTATGTACCAATATTAGCATATTAGAGTGGTCATGCTAACTCCTAACACACAAGTAGTTGTGAGATTAAATAGCATTACACAGAGGATGTTTGGTAAGATAATTGTCAAGAAATAGTTGCTCATAAAATGGCTATAATTACTATTCACAATATCTACTCCTGAATGGATGGTGATTCTGGAGGGAGAGAAGGCAGGTCTATGTCAAAAGAAACCTGAAGCAATTTTTATTCAATAATTTAATAGCATCAATTTATTTACTTCAAAACTTCAGCTCTACTGTGCCATTTGTTGAACTTTCTAAGAAATAAAAATTCTGCCTTATGAACCACTGAAGTTGTTTTTGCTTTTAGCAAACATTTTCCTCAGACTTTGCATTCACAAATTCTAAATTAAGATCCAAGTCATGAAGAGTTTACTGCATTAAGCAAAATAGCACAAAACAAGTAATAAAGTCCCTTTTAAGGCTGCACTTGCCCTTCTGCTTTCTACTGCGCCTCAGTGGGCAGCTGAGAGCATGCTCCTTAGGCTCAGAAAGGCTGAGTGAGCTCACCGCGCCAGGGGATTTGTGGGCAGAGGCCGGAAACATACCTGGCAATGGCAGCTAAAAGGGGTGCAAGACTAGCGACAGACATTTAGGAAAACAGACTTCACGTGAATAATAATTTGACATCAAAGAGCCAAAACATAATTCATCAGGACAGTGATATATTGCGTGTGTGTGTGTACTCCGAACCCTCAGGCGGTGAAACTGGAGGGGGCGTTGCTGCCAGCTCACAGCAGCGCAGGAGCCGGAGGCAGGCGGCACTAGGACACGGGACACAGGGACACTGGACACAGGGACATAGAGACATGGGGCACAGGACACGGGACACAGAACACAGGGACACGGGGCCCAGGGATATAGAGACATGGGACACAGGGGTACGGGGCGCGGGGACAGCTCTGGCACAGTGAGAGACAAGGAGGCACACGCCTGCCTGAGGGAGGTGCAGAATGGGTGGAAAGAGGAGCAGATGCTGCGGGCCCACTGGGCAGGCGGGCGGGCTCCTGGGCTCGTGACCAGCTGAGGGGTCTGCGCTGGTGGTGCTTTTGGTCCCCCTCATCCCGCCCTCGGTCCCCCCTCTGTCCCGCCTCCGCTCCACGTCCACCCCTCTCCCTCCCCTCCCCCACTTCCTCCGCCGCTGAGCTTGGGTCCCGGAGGCCCTGCGGGGAGACTGGCTGGGTCGGAGGGGGGGGGGGGGGGGCTCACCTCGCCGCTGGAGGGTGGTGGCGGCCTCATTCTGGTAGTTGTGTCTGCACACCGTGTCCACCTCGGCCCGCTTCTGCTCCATGAAGTCCTTCTGGCTGTTCCAGTACTCCGCGGCTGGCCGCCCCAGCGGGGTCAGCGCGCGGTACTCGCCCACGTCGCTGTCGTAGCGCGCGATCTCCTCCCGGTTGTAGATGTATCTGTGCAGGAGCCGCACGCGCTCCGTCCCGTTGGTGTAGTAGCAGAAGAAGTTAGACTGGTGCACGAAGTCCACTGTGGGGAGCCGCCATCAGGCCTCCGCCCCTCCAGCCCGGACCTTCTCAGCTGAGACCGCAGCCCCGCCCCACAGGCGCCCCCATCCGCCCCCGCCGCCCCATCCCTCTACCCCCTGGGCCTCAGGAACTGCCCCCTGCGGGGAGGGGACAGGGAATGAGCCTCAGGGGCGCCCTGGGGCCTGGGTCCCCCTAAGCCGGACACCCGCTGGGAGGGCCTTGTGATCTCCCATCCACCCCGCCTCAGAACGGTCAGGACGCCCCTGCAAGGCCCCCTTTCCCATGGAATCCGAAACCTTAGAGACCAGCGTCCCCACAGGCTGAGTCTGGGGAACAAGGACAGAAAGCCCCGACCCAACATCCTCCTCCCACAGGCTCGCTCTCCCCGCCTCCCTGGCACAGAGCCTTCCCCCAACTCCTACCCCTTGAGATTCAAGGGGCCCCCCTCCCCCCCCCCCCACACACACACCCAGAAAGGGAGGCTCATCACGGGAAGGGCACAGGCTCCCAGTTAGACCACCTGGATCCCAGGCGGCTGCGCCAGTGGCCAGCGTGGCGGGCTGCCCACAGCACCCAGAGCACAAAGGTAACTGCAGAGACCAGGACACCTACACTGCGCGGCAGGAGCACCTACAGCGCTTACATGGAGACAGAACCCTGTCTGAAATATTGTAAATGGCTTCCCGGCATGCCATTTCCTCTTCACTCTCCCCTTCTCCTCAGGCCAGGCCACCTTCAACTCAGCACTCAACCCCCCCCCCCCTCCCTGTGGGGCCCTAAGTCCCTGGAGGACGCTGAGCCCCTGCCCCTGGCACCAGCTCAGCTGCCAGCAGATGCCAGGGTTTGCTGGGAGCCCTCCCCTCAGGTCAGAGAGGGTGGGCCCTTTCCCCAAAACCTGCCCCACAGGCCTGCCCCACACCTTCCCCAGCCAGAGCCCCTCAGTCTTCAGTCACACAAGGTCCTGGGGACAAGCCCTGCTGTCTCTTCTTTGGAGAAACATTTTCTTCAAAAATAACCCTTTTCCTGTCACTGGCAGTGGCCAGTCTCCGCCCTCCATGTGTCAGCACCAGGCTGGAGCCCCTGACGTGGCATGTCCTCGCCTTGTCCCAGAAGGCGGACATGAGAAGGCAGCAGTTCCCTTTCCCAAAGGAAAAGCGTGATCACAGACTGTTCTCAGGTCAGAGCCACCCCACGCCCAGCCCAGGTCCCTCGGAGCCCACCCTGGGGCTGGCGGTGGGCAGCTGCCCTGCACTCACCTGGGGAGTCTCTGCCCTCAGCCACTGGGGCCCTCAGCGCCACCAGCCACAGCATCACAGCTGCAGCCCAGGGGCCTCCAGGGGCCTGCAGAGCTGGCTTCCCAGACATGATAGAGCACAGAGGAAGAAGTAAGGGGAGAGAGCCTGCTCCACCTGATGGCTGGTGTCCCCTCTTCAGAGAATAAAAACCTGAGAGAGCAGCCACTCAAGGTCAGACTGGGGAGTCCCCAGGGAAGGAGCCAATCAGCACTGGAGCTGGCCCGCCTCATCTGTCTCTGGGCAGATGCCTTCTCTGGAGGCGCTTCAGCCAGTGCCTGGAACCCAGCTGCATGGGATTGCTCTGGAGGAACATTGGAAGACTTTCTCTTGGTTATAGAAGGTGAATGCCTTAGGAGTTTAGAGAACTGAGAGAGAAAGGGGATTCAAGAGTGGGCATCTTTGTGATATTCGGTTAAACCTATTGTCCTTGCACTCGAGGTGTTTAGGAAGTAAGTAAGTGGGGACCATGTACCAGGGAGAGAACATCATTGTCACAGAGATGCTCCTTTCATTATCTGAAACACTCCAGAGCCTGGAGCCTGCTGGGAGGAGCAGTGCCCTAAGAGGAATGGCCTTGAGCTGCAGGGCCACCTCGAATGGCCTTTATGAGACAACAAGTTACTCAACCTCCTTCAGCCTCAGGCTTCTCTTGGAAATGTGGGTTATGTTTCTTGCATTTTACATCTGCACCTTCACACACACACTCACAGCACTGTGACTGCTCTAAGAGTGCAAAGCGTTCCGCTCTGCTGCACGTGTCGCTGGTGGGACTGTCACACACAAAACACACGCACTCCTGCTGGCCAGTGAGGCTTCCTCATGGGAGAATTACTGCATTTGTGCTCTTTGAATGCAAGTATTTGAAAGTTAAGTTGATTTTTCTTTTTTGTTTGTTTGCTTGATGTAGCCTATTGCAGCTCTTAACACTCTCCATGTGAGGTTTTCTGAGCTGCCACTGGGGCAGGCCACAAGAGCTGGGTTTAATGGCCGTGGGAGTATCTGGGGCTAAGGAAAGGTGAGAATAAATACCGCTGCTCCCTCACTTCTCCAGTTGGATATTCTGAGGGGGTCCTACATTAAAGTTGATTTTTCTCTTCTGAGCTCTTCTGCTGCTTCAGTCCTCCCTGGACCATGAAGCAGATCCATCTGATTTCAGCAAAGACACAACCACAGACATTCACACCAGCAGGACATGGGCGCCTGAGCTCCAGGTCAGAGAGCAAAGACGTGGGGAAGCACCTGGGGCCTGACAGTGTGACTGCGGGAGCAGGTGTTCACACTCACAGCTCCTGCTGTGCGGCCCCTGAGCATCATACCCCACAGGCGGAACTACTGATGTGGTTTTAATCAATGAGTTATTTCTCAGGCTCCCCGCGCCCATGCCTAAGGGTAGTACTGAATGGTTATAGAGCAATTAAGATGATGCCTGGCAAATATTAATAAACAAGATAGCCTCTCTCTCTCTCTCTCTCTCTCTCCCTCTCTCTCTCTCTCTCTCTTATATTTTAGGTTGTTTTAAATTTGAGGACAGGGTCTGAAAGCAGAATATAAGGAGCTCACCAGATAAAGGAAGCAGGGAGGTGATTAAGCTCACATGGAGGCCATAAGCTGGTCTCATTTTCTCTTTTGGGTGCATTTTCTCTGTTGGGAGCACCTGTGCCAGGGGATGGACCCTGGGCTCTGACCAGCAGTGATGGGTCAGGGTCAGGGGCAGGGTCAGGGGCACTCCAGAGTAAGGGTGGAAGCATAAGAGAGGAACATCCAACTCAGACCTGGAATGGGGTTGGGGGACAAGGAAGAATAGAGAGGGAACTTTAAGGTGCCTCAGTGCCCTAAGCCCCCACCTCAAGGTCCCTGAGAATCTGTGATATTCAGTTAAAACCTATTGTTCTTGAGATTTTTAGGAGAGAAATAAGTGGGGATCAGCAAGGGCCTCTGGCACATCTCCTCCCTCCGTTCATAGGGGGAATTCCATTAGTTCTGCTCCGGGCCTTGCACTGGGCTCTGTTCTGGGTCCTGCACTGGGCTCTGCCCTGGGCCCTCCCTGCACTGGGCTCTGTCTGGGCCCTCCCTGCACTGGGCTCTGTCTGGGCCCTCCCTGCACTGGGCTCTGTCTGGGCCCTCCCTGCACTGGGCTCTGTCTGGGCCCTGCACTGGGCTCTGTCTGGGCCCTGCACTGGGTTCTGCTCTGGCCCTGCCCTTGGTTCTGCTCTGGGCTCTGCCCTGGGCCCTGCACTGGGTTCTGTCTGGGCGCTGCACTGGGCTCTGCCCTGGGCCCTGCACTGGGCTCTGCCCCGGGCCCTGCACTGGGCTCTGCTCCGGGCCCTGCACTGGGTTCTGTCTGGGCCCTGCACTCACTTCTGCTCTGCTCTGGGCCTTGCAGCAGAGGCAGCATCAGGCCAGGGGATTCCCGGGTCTCAGAGGCCTCTTAGCACAGACTTCTCTACTAGCAACAGGGTTGTCAGCTTAGACTCCTTTTTCTGATTGGCTAAAATCTCATCTGCAAGGTCTGGGGTGGCTTCTGCCAGCTGCTTCCCTAGCTCAGTCAGCATTCTCTATATTTTCTGGGTTTCTCTGCCCCTTCCCCTCCTGGACACAGTCCTCAGGGCAGGTGCTGCTGGCCTGGCCTGGCCTGGCCTGGGAAGAAGGCAACATCCCATTTCCCGCACCTCACCTGAACCACCCTGTGGAGGCAGGGCCCTTCGGGTGAGGGAGTGAGAGCCACGTGGGTAGCAGTTGCGATGAAGAAGCAGCCATGAACACGAGTTCAGGTCATGGGAGGGAGACTCCCCAGGGATGCCCGAGTTCCCTCTGGTGGAAGGTTAAGCTTGGACTCCTTCCTGGTGGAAGTTCAGGGAGAACCAGCCTTCCCTTGGATCCGAGGAATCTGCGCTGGTCAGTGGGGTTCACCGCGAACATAGTAACCATCTGTCACCAAAGCGCCATGTAGGACCCATTGTGCATTCATGCAGGAACCAGAAACATCGTTCCTTTTAAAGGGTCTGCGACCTCTTTAGTACAGCAGCAATATAGAAATACTGTCTCCAGAACATTGTTTCCCTTTTAATAACAATTCATCAAGGATTTATCCCTAAATTTTTTACAAAGATACTCACATATGTCCCTATATGAACCCTTAGGTAACCCATTATATGCATTTCCCATGACACATAACATAGGTCCTTTCTCCACACGACCTATCTCTTTAAAATCACATTTTAGAGAATCTGAAGTCAGCGTAGCAGCAGAGTGAGCACAGAGAAACATTTCACCAGGAGAGACTCAGGTGTCCCTCCTCTGTGGGTGGAGCACTCCCCTCACAGGACACCACAATGACGCAGACGTACCTGTGGGAGTCCCCATGGTCCGGGCTGAGCCCACAGGTACCTGTGGGTTCATCTTAGTTGACATCATGCATAAAGACAGCAATGTCTCCTTGTCACTTCTCATCTCTGTTCACATGTTGAAATTTCTGATTTTTAGTCCCTACCACTTACCCCATCATTACAGAGAGAAAAAGGGGGAGGGAGGAGGAGAAGCACATTAGAAGCATTTGACCATGACCCCTGCCTTTCCCTCTGAAGTGCCAGCACAGAACTGCCATTTAATGACAACTTCAGCTCTCAGACCTGGTCCTCCTCTCAGCGGGCTCACAGATGTGGACACTTAAGTGCAAATCAGAGTCTCACACAAATCGATGAGAGAAGAACCGAGAGAGCGCAGCTTTGTGAGCCACATGGCCCAGTAGGACAGACTTCACCTATCTGGACTGGATTGAGAGGAAGAGGGACTAGTCTCTGCGCACTGTAGCTGCAGCTACATGTCTAAGAGCCCTGTCCTGGCAGCAGGCTGAGTGCCATGCACTCCCCACACAAGATCAGGGTCCTGGGCAGCTCAGCTCCGACACTTCTATGCAGTCCTGTTTTCTGTAGTTCTGTCACCTCCCAGAAACCCAGCAGATCCAAGACAGTGGGTACTGTGCAATGTTTTTATACCCCTACAGAGTTAAGGTCCTGGGTTTAAAGGATAAAAATACAAGGATTCTCCTTTCTAGAAGTTCACACATGGAAGGGGAGACACAGGTGGGGGAAATGAAAAGGCAACAGTTTGCACCAACCACTAAGAGGAATGGCATACACACTGACTAAGACAGTGTTGAAAGTTCAGGACACAAAACTATAAACTGGCAATGGTGGCTATTGGTTCACTTTCTTTCTTTCCTCTTGAATGGGCTGGCAACATAGGGCCAGAGGATGATCATTATTTGTGGATTAACTCTTGTATAATAAATTTTCAAGATGAGAAGCACAAGGAGTTGATAGTGTAGAGGTCATGACAGGACTGAGACAGACTTTCAGGAGCGCTTCTCAGAGAGGTGATGGCTCAGCGATAGAGGGCCTTTCCAGGAAGTTTGGCAAGGATTGGGGGGTTGGGAGGGGACTCACACCATGTAGTTTGCTGTGACTGAGGGTGGGATTCAGGTGTACGGGTCTTTGCACCATTGAAAGTCACCTGACTTTTCCTCACAGTATGACAAAATGGGGGTTTAAGCAGAGGAGTGCATAAGGAGCTTTTCTGTTCATAAAGCCACATGGAGGCAGATCCTTTCTGTGAAGCAAAAGGATCAAGGTACTGGAGGACCCAAATCCACCAAAAACCAGTTTACCAAGGAACCAATTTGCCAATGACCAGTTTGCTAAATTTACTAAAATTATTATGTACTCGAAATGCATTCCTTTTTTTATATTTCTAAAGTTTGTTTGAAACATGTTCCACCATAGTTGATGGTTGGTAAGTGAATTGGAGGTCTGAGAACCCTCCCACTCCCCAGCCCCCATTCTCTCGCTCTCCAGGGCTCTGCTCCATCTTCTGCCAACAAGCAGCTCAGCTTCCATGAAGCTTTACAGCAAATGCATTAATAAACACGAATGAAAACGGGACAACTACAATTCACTGATAATTTCAGGAGTTAAGATGCTTTGAATGTAAACTGAAACAAATATTTTAAATGATTAAAATACGTTTTGGTTGAATTTGGGGTATTTACTAGTAACAAATTTATTCTGCAGAGAAATTAGCAAAGATTCTTTAAAATGCTAACGTTTATAAAATAAAACTCTTAAAAGGATTTGATACCAATATAGATATAAACTGAAAAATATCT